AAACCGACACCCATCCGTTTTGAGGAGAGACGGATTCAGGGTCTTTTCGGTCTAAAAACGACTCTTTTATTAGTACTAAAACAGAGTCGGACCGGCGCCAGTTTTTGGGGTCGTGCGGGTCGTTTTCAGACTCTAAAACAGGGTCGTTTGTTCTATGCGGGTATATCTATGAAAATGTCTATCTATGAAATGTCTATATATGAAATGTCTATCTATGAAATGTCTATCAATAGAAAGTATATATATGAAATGTCTATCTATGAAATGTCTATCAATAGAAATGTCTATCTATGAAATGTCTATCTATTGAATGTCTATCTATCAAATGTCTCTTTATAAAATGTCCTAACACCCTAAAAACAAATATTGTCATTGCTATAAAGGATATATCACCAATATACTTAGACATGAAAGTAAACACTAGACATTAATTGCAACAACGCTTGCCGACAATATATTAAATTGATAAATGTTTAGAGGGCTTTCAGAGTAATTTCACCCCTCCATGCTATACTAGCAATGCCCGATTCACAACGGTACCCTTGAAACCTTTATCTGATCAATGATATGAAGGATATTGTCGTTTTCCTTAGTTTAAAAGAAATGCGCAAGCCACTTTTGTAGAGAAAGCCAAATTAAATATAATCAATTTTCCAAATTATAAACATGGATTTCTTATTCATATTGAATTAGACAACACTTTTAAGTGTACTTCTGTGAATCGGGCATTGTAACCTTTGCATGCAGGGTCACTTAAAATAACACGTACAGTCCCTTTAAAAGGGTTTACAAAGCAGGTGTACCTGAGAATCCTATATCTGGTGCACCTGAGAATCCTATATCTGGTGTACCTGAGAATCCTATATCTGGTGTACCTGAGAATCCTATATCTGGTGTACCTGAGAATCCTATATCTGGTGTACCTGAGAATCCTATATCTGGTGTACCTGAGAATCCTATATCTGCTGTACCGGAGAATCCTATATCTTCTGAACCTGAGAATCCTATATCTGCTGTACCTGAGAATCCTATATCTGCTGTACCTGAGAATCCTATATCTGCTGTACCTGAGAATCCTATATCCGGTGTACCTGAAAATCCTATATCTGCCCAGAGGAAATGCTTCCTTGACTTGATGCTACTCATCTGCTCATACAGATATTCTCCAACCAGGAACCTGCAATATAATACAATGGTAGGCGATTATATCAATACAAGGAAGGCGACTTTAGATGTTAATTTTGGTTTATATCAAGCTGTTAAACAGCATGGATTCACAAACATGGAAACAAAGAGAAGCGTTCAGTTAAAAACGCTTCTCTTTCATTACTAGTAAACTTGTAATAACAATCAAAACTTAAGTAAAAAAGTCGTCTTCATAGTATTGATATAATCGCCTACGTTTTTATGTTTCAGCTACGAAGTCAAAAAGTCAGTAATCTCGCTTAAATTTGACATTTTCTTTAGGTCTAGAGTGAAGGGGTTTTGGTAAAAGCCATATCTGAATTCTGCAAGCTAAAGTTCTTTTTTAGTTTGAAATATTGAAAGTTTTTCAACAAGCAACTTATATATCTTTAAAGAGCTATCTATATATTAAAAGTCCAAAGAACTCTTTAGAATCTTTGTTGTAAAATTAAAACTAGGAGTTATGATGTAATAGAGTTTCAGCAGTAATTCTGCATTATTTGTAATAAATAATGGAGTGATGCTAAGATGTTAGAACACTAGATGATACAGCACTATCATTTTTATTTTATAATTATACAAACAATGCAGACCGATATAAATTGATATATTTAAACATTTTTTAAAAACTTTTATTAAGAAATAGAAAAAGATTGAATTACAAATTTCTGAAATTGTAACCTTTCAATTCAAAACTTGCATATGTGCGTGCCACGTCCGGTTTATGGTCTCACGCTATCAAGCAAAAATACGAGATTTTGCCAATTATTTCTTAAAAAGCAAAGCTAACTTTATTGTGCGAAAGTGTACATGTACATAGCTACAGAAAATGTGCATGTAAATTAGGTACAGAAAGTGTACATGTAAATAGCTACAGAAAGTGTACATGTAAATAGCTACAGAAAATGTACATGTAAATAGCTACAGAAAATGTACATGTAAATAGCTACAGAAAATGTACATGTAAATAGCTACAGAAAATGTACATGTAAATAGCTACAGAAAATGTACATGTAAATAGCTACAGAAAATGTACATGTAAATAGCTACAGAAAGTGTACATGTAAATAGCTACAGAAAATCATAAGTGAGTTAGAGCGGTAAAATCTAAGCCCAAGGCATTGCGACACTTTAAGCTCGACCCTGTCCTAAAAATTACTGAGACTGTTTATAAGCAGGGTCAGATTTATGTGAAGTGTACATCACTTTCGTTATGTATCAATATATGTAGCTATATATGTAATTATAAAGTAGTAATCTTTGTTTTTATGGATGTTCGATCATAACTCAAGAACCTGTGGGCTTATTTTTATTTTGATGAAATCGGTAGATACGAGCTAGTTTAGAAGTTCCAAGTTGATTGGGTTGACTAGGCAAAGTTCTCAAGATAGTTATTTAACGAATTTTTAATAAATCAAGATATATGACAAAGTTTTAGAAAAAGAAAGTATCTGTCAGCAGTTTCTAAAATTATGATGATCAGCTCTTTCTAAACTTCATTTCTAATTCTTATTTCTTTTTGTTTTCCAACTTGTATTTTAAGAAGCTGTCGATATCATTTCAAGCGACTCATTTCTCACAACGGTGACCTGCGAATTTTAGCAGCAGAAACATGGAAGAAAAATAATTGAGTTTTTTTGCAACAAACTCTGTTTTTCTTATCCCTATATCTAGTTGCAAACCTTAGGTATTACAAATCATGGATTCTGTTAGATCAAATAATTCAATTTTGAAATATCAAAGTTTTACACCCACTCTCCACTAAAAGCTACTTTAATCTTTGTTCAGTGTTCTGCAAACTACCGCTGAACGCACCGAAAGTTCAGTTTAGGGTGCACCATCAGGTTGCAAATATATCGGCATTTTAAGATATGATTTTGCGGCAAAGACTCAATTGCTAAATCTCCTTTTAAAGGATTTTTTTGTGAATTTTTGATGTTTTCCCGCGTAAAGTGTAAAGTGTTATTACCCTATAGCTGCAAGGAACGCTATAACAGCCACAGTATTCCCCAGATTACAAGCAGTACTTGATCCATTCATGATGCACACCTACAAGTAAACAACAGTACACCTACAAGTAAACAACAGTACACCTACAAGTAAACAACAGTACACCTACAAGTAAACAACAGTGCACCTACAAGTAAACAACAGTACACGTACAAGTAAACAACAGTATATTTAGTAGAAAAAAAAACAAAGTATTCACATAGGTTCATCTGACTACAGGGTGTCCAAAACAAACAGAAACTTATTTAAAACCGGATTCCCAAATTAAGAACTTTTTTAAAATCTACGCGAAACAAAAAACAAAAATTAGATTTTTCTGAATTTTGAAAAGTTGCCAAAAAATATATTTTGTAAAATTTTGTATATTGTAATAAGAAAAAAAAATACTTGCACAGACAAAACATGGGTCAAAGCTATGAATCCAAAATGAAATAAGAAAAAAAATCAAGTTTGCTATAGAAAAACTTTGTAACAAAAAATAATTGTTCGTAAAAGTTCTATAAAAATTATGAAAAGTTAGGGTTCATAAATAGCAGAACTTACCACTAGAAAGTACAAAGTACAAATACAGGATAAAATAAATTTGTTAAACACGTTTAATTTATCAAAACCAAACAAATTTTATTTTTTGTTTAATGCAAACCAAATGCTTGAAATAAATCGTTATTCATATTTCGTGCAGAGATTTTTACAATAGATTTGAAGGGTAGAAAAGTAAATGAAGGTTGCAAAAAAAAAATTCCTACTTACAATAAAAAAGAATAAATCAAATTCTTCTTTCCGCCATTGCCTTACTTAGTTACTACAGAGTTACCCACAAAGCATAAGACTTTAGAGACGACTGTACGGAGTTTGTTTACTCCCTTTTCTGAAATTCAGAATTCCAAAACTGGTTTATTTCTGTGCTTAATCATTTAATAAACCATTAAATACTAATCAGAAGGTAGAGAACAAATATTAAGTTTATAGTGTTTTGGGTCGTCTTTCTTTACAGTCTCATCCTTTGAGTAAGGGTTTAAGGTTTAATTTTTACCTCTTTGTTTGTGGAATGGTGAAACTGCCATCCCTCGCTAGATATACAGCTGAATACAATAATAGCGCAAACCTACAATATAACAAAATAAGATTCATGAATACAATAATAGCGCAAACCTACAATATAACAAAATAAGATTCAAGAATACAATAATAGCGCAAACCTATACAATATAAGAAAATAAGATTCATGAATACAATAATAGCGCAACCCTACAATATATAAAAATAAGATTTAAGAATACAATAATAGCGCAAACCTACAATATAACAAAATAAGATTCATGAACACAATAATTCTAATGGGTTCTTATTTTTTTGAGGGATAAATAATTTTAAAAGAATTTAATATCTATTTTAACTCCAGACTGGTGGGAGATGCATTTTTTAAAATTTCAATCTTTATATTTTGCTTGACTGTTGGTATGTTTAAACCCAATTAACACCAAAACGGCTGAACCAATTAGGAACAATTTTTTTGTGGTATCTTATGACCCTTTGGCCCGTAAAAAAATAGCTCAAGAAAAATATAATTTGTTTAATGTTGTAAATCCACAAATGAAACCCGGAAATTCCTCAAGATGTCTCATTCTATTCCTGGCTTAAATGTTTAATCTCAGATTGAATTAATTCATAATTCAAATTATTTAATAATTCTAAATTATACAATATATTAGATCTTTATTCTAAAACAAAATCTCTCCTTCAAAATCTGATCTCTTCAAAACTTGAAATCTTTCCAGATTTAAAGTTTAAACACTTCAATAAACATTTTCATGATAATTTTAAATTATCCAAATTAAACCATCTGATGAATATTAGAATACACCTCTGATATAAAAATTAAAAACTGTCCAAAGAAAAAAGTCTTAAAAATTAAGAATGATTTTTAATTGAAAAATTTATAAATCCTTTATTGAAAATTATTATCCTTCAATGGATATCCTTTATCCTTCAATACAAAATTATAAATTTTTCAATTAAAATTATAAATCGTTCAATGAAAATTATAATTCCTTCAATGAAAATTATAAATTCTTCAATGAAAATTATTATCCTTAAATTAAAAATATAAATCCTTCAATACAAATTATAATTTTTTCAATTAAAATTATAAATTCTTCAATTAAAATTATAAGTTCTTCAATTAAAATTATAAATTCTTCAATTAAAATTATAAATTCTTCAATTAAAATTATTAATCCTTCAATGAAAATTATAAATCCTTCAATTAAAATTCTAAACCTTTCAATGAAAATCATGAACTCTTTAATAATGAAACATGTTAACTATGTATTAACTATCTATTTGTGTTTGAAATAAGTCTTCTCGAGTTTTGAGCGTTTAAATCCCTCCAATAGGAAACTGTCAATATAACTTTTATATTGTCAGCTTGTACTGGAGAAACTTCTAAATGGAATGGAGGATGAAAGTTCTAAATGGAAATAGTGGTTGAAATCGTAAATTTTCTGCTGGAATAAATATCCAAAGGGAAAACTTTCCGGCAGGAAGGAAATCTGAGCTGGGAACTTTTTAATGGGGGTTATCGGGATTAATGCTTGATCCACTCTTTTTCTTAATCTACAGATTAAATTATGCTTGTTCTCCTCTTGTTATAAATATCCAGATTAATTAAAAGATCGGGAGTAAGGATATCCCATTCTAAAGTTTTCAGCTCTGGATACTTTTATTCAAAAGGCATTTTAAGTTCTACAAAGTCAAGAAAAAATTGACAAAAATATTTCAGAGAAAAAAATATCTACAATTATGCATGCTTATTAGTTAAAGAGTTAAGAGTTATTTTAAATTACGTAGAAAGTGGCACTGTACAGTCCAAAAAAAAATTTTATATTCTCTCAATAAGATGTCAAGCATCACATGTTTTCTGGAATCATATGACAGAACTTAGACACCTGTCCTCAACAGTATTCGGAGCTTAGAAATCAATAAGAGAGTACCATAGCTTTCTCACCATAATCATTCACCAGCAATTAATATTTTTAATTGGGAATCATATTTGGTCCCTTTTTAACTGGTCTCGACATTAATTATTATATGTTGTAAAGATTATGCTCCACAAGTTAGGTTTTTTGTATTATGAATTATGTTTGCTATGAAAGAAGATAAATTGCTTCAACGTTTTATATAAATATTCTGCATAAAAATTCATAGCAATTAATAATATCGAATAGTTTATTATATGAAAAGGTTAAGACAAGGAAGATTTAAACCCCCTGCCCCTGGCAAAAAAAACATACAGGAATTATTATCGAGTAATAACTCTCGAATAATGTCGTCCTTTAGCGTTGAAAACTTATAAATAGTTCTAGAATAATGTCGTCTTTTAGCGTTGAAAACTTCTAAATGGTTCTAGAATAATGTCGTCTGTTAGCGTTGAAAACTTCTAAATAGTTCTAGAATAATGTCGTCTTTTAGCGTTGAAAACTTATAAATAGTTCTAGAATAATGTCGTCTTTTAGCGTTGAAAACTTATAAATAGTTCTAGAATAATGTCGTCTTTTAGCGTTGAAAACTTCTAAAACAATAAAGCAGAAGAGGAGGTTTCTGTTTGGCCATGTAGACATTTTGTAATTTTTATTTTCCTTATCTATAGTCGTACTTTAAATAAAACTTTCCTATTTGGGTACAACTACCAGAGGTGTTGTAACTGATAAATAAGGATTTGATTTTTTTTTTGATTAAGGGCCAAAAATCAAATTCTCAACTTTAGGATTTTTAAAATCAATAAATGCTTGATTTTACAATAAAGATGAATTTCGTCTATATATTTTTGAAAAAAATAAGAATTTGTGGGATTGGATAAGCAAATAATCAACATTTTTTATTACAAAAAATATGTCTGGCAAAAGAGTGTTTGCCTGCTAGAGGTGCGATATTTCGCGTTATTTGGGTAATCTTAGACGTTCTAACTTAAAATATTCGCAAATTATCTAATTTTTGATTTGACATTTGTACTTAGTTTGTAATCATCGTAAAAGTTAGCCCTGAAATAGAGAAGAGGAAGAAGCATTAAGACTTCCAAATGTACTGAAACTGGTATTAAAGTCGTCAAAATCCACTGTAATACGAAATCCAGTCAATTAGCTTCTTTGGTTTTCTGAGATATGAGTGATTTATTGATTTCTGGGTTAGGATGTATGGTCAGTTTATTAAAAAGTTTATTCTTATTATTGAAAAAATTTTAAGTTTCTTTGCGCCTTGCAAAAGTCCAGGAAAGTAGTTATTGAAACAAAATACCGAGGTTCAGGGGGGTAACCGCCAAAATACTATTGTTCCGGGAGGTAACCGCCTATATACCGGTTTTCAGGGAGGTAACCGTCAAAATACCGGTGTTCAGGGAGGTAACCGCCAAAATACCGGTGTTCAGGGAGGTAACCGCCAAAATACTGGTGTTCAGGGATGTAACCGCCAAAATACCGGTGTTCAGGGAGGTAACTGCCAAAATACCGATGTTCAGGGATGAACCGCCAAAATAACGATGTTAATGGAGGTAACCGCCAAGATACCGATGTTCAGGAGGTAACCGCCAAAAAGTTCTCTGAAAACAAATTTTCGGAAATAAAGTCCTAAATTTTGAGACTAAAAAAGTCCTGTGGAAAAAAAGTCTTTGAAATAAAAAGTTTCTGCAGAATTAGAGTCCTACCATTTTGAGACTTTTTTCTTGGACTTTTTTTCTGGTTCCAGTATGATTTTATACAAAAACGTCCCCGGAAAGAAGTCCTATTTTAGTAAATAATACATGGGAACAAAGGATGTTTACAACCATGACAAAAAAGGGCCAATTGATATTAAAATGCAGAAGCATAGAAAACGTCTTAGACTTGACCTCATGTTCACAAAACTCAGGACTTTTTTCTTGGTTTTTTTTTCTTCGGATTTATTTTCTTCAGGACTGATTTATTTCCTGAGACTTGATTGGCAGACCCCATACTATTTTAGGAAAAAAGATACGAGGAATTAAATTCAGAACTTTATTTCCAGTGACATTTTGTCCTAGGACTCCAGAAAATTATGACTTTTTTTACCAAAGTCTTAATTTCCAGGTATTCCAAAAACTTTTTTTCCGGTGACTTTCTTGCATAGATTCGTTCAGGGACCAACAACCTTCTTTGTTGCAAAATGTACATTGTACAAACAAGAAACCTTAGAATAAATTGTTAACAATAATATTGTATTTGTATTTTTAAATTTATAAAAAAATTTAAAGATCCGACATAAAATTGCACTGCAACAGATATATCTAACAACGCTAGTTAAATAAATTAAACCTGGGAAAAGTCATTTCAATTATTTTGAAGATGTAAAAATAATAATATAATAATTTTCTTTAATATTAGTTTTAATAAGATGGGCGAGAGGGGCGCGAAGCGTTCAGAAACGCAGATAACTGGCATTATGGACAGGGTGTCCCACATCATTTTTAGACCGTTTATAGATCTTAATTGTGATTTTCGAGACTAATCAGAAATCTAAAAAGAATGAAAAAACTAGGCTTTACTAGTTGCAGTGTTTATTTCTGTGTTCAAGCTTATAGATAATCTAATATAATATGGGACGCTTTTATACGTTAGAATCACATTTCCCATATTACACTTTCATTTCAGTTTTCTTGAACTATAACATTACTAATAGAACAGAGAGAATAACTAGTAAAAATATGTGTACATTAAACAGCTGAAAATATGTACACAGCTGTGTACAGTGTATAGTGTACATGCAATATATGCCAAGGAAGATTTACCGTTGGAACTACAGGGTGTCCCGCGAAACATTACATTTAATAAATAGTTATTTTTAGATAAACAAATCTTTTGCTTAGTTATATTTTATACTTTGAAATCAATTTAATATAACATGATTTGTGGGACACCATGTATTTACTCACAAAGTGTACTTCATCTTTTGGAGGAAATATAAACAAACTCAGTGCTCCTAGATAAATTAGCAATACAGATAGAACACTTGATGCAGTCGTCTTTTCAAGATTTAGGGGTTTTTCGTTCACAATAGCCCAAGCTGATGCTGAAGCCCAAAGGAGTTACACGCATGCCGCGTGAATATGACAAGACAGAGAGAGAGCATGCGCGTAACTCCTTTGCCTCAGGGTTATTGTGAACGAAAAACCATTTAACCTTGAAAAGACGACATCTAGTGTTATATCTGTATTGTTATTAATCAATGGCTCCTAAGATTGATATCTTATGAACTGGGCTACCAAACTATGGTTCATGGTTTTCAAACCATTTAATATGACATGATAATACAGTTTACATGGCAGTAACCTTTATTCAATCCCCAGGGCGCTATATTTAAAGATCTTGAAGCTGAAGGACAGTTTCAAAGCAAAGATATCTAGAAAAAATGAAGAAAAAAATGAACGAAAAAACAGATCTTAGGCTATCTTTAAATTCGTCATGGATATACAATTGTTTAAATACAGGGTTATCCACAAGGGATAAGACTGTAAAGACGACCTGAAACTCATATACTAAGACGATCCCAAAGTTAAATTATAAGTATTCTGCCTTACAAATACTCTTTTAATGGCTTATTTAACGATTTGGCGAAGAAAGCAACAAGTTTAAACTGCTGCAAGAAATCATAAATATAAGGAAACATATACTATAAATTCTGTACAGTCGTCTCTGAAGTTTCATCCTTTGTACAGTGAAACCCTTAAAAATGAATACATCGAAAGAATTCATCAAATGTCGTATTCTTCACTTTCTGATAATGGAATGTTGCAGATATTTAGATTTTTAATTAAATGATTATATAGAACTCCTTAAAACTGTTCCCGCATATTCATGGCTATTTATTTATTTTCGCAAATACTGAAATTTACGTAATATTGTATAAAACTCATTGAAAAATTGTCAAGACGACATTTGATAAATTCTTCCGATGTATTCGTTATTAAGGGCTTCACTGTAGGTAACCATGTAGTTTACTCCAAAAGTTAAACATGGAATTTTTTCCAGTTTCACAATTTGACATTTTCCTGTATTTTAATTTTTTCAGAAAATAAAAGGAATGAGAGATTATTAAAGTGCCTCACTTCAAATAATTATCAACTTATTATATCAAATAGTATATTTTAAACCACCCCTGCCCTTTTTAAAAGCTGTAGTTACGCCAACAGAAACGCCCACTTTTAATAGATACAGGATACCCAGAAAAATGAGCCCAAAGTTGATAAAATGACACTTTGATTCAAAGGTTGCAATCTCTCATAGCAAAATCTTTCAGCAAGCATTTTTCCAATTACTCCTTTTAAGCTTACACTAGAACAAGTAATTTTTAGTTATAAGAAGTACATTTCTAGGACTACAAAAAAGTATGATTGAGTTAGTAAGAAAAAAGGCGTTGCGACAGGGCAAAGTCGGCCCAGGCTTGAAAATTGATGCAACCTTTTACTGCATTTAATAAAAAATCCTTTTAAGTATCTCTGTTTAAATCTTCCATCAATTTTGTTTATGAATGTTTGAATACTATTTATAGAAACAGATGTTATAAACTATTAAATCATGTATCTAGTCTACTATCTACAGTGGTAACCAGCAAAATTTGGAATAGGAAGACGACAGCAATACTTAAACGAACACTGATGCATCTATTCTTGTTTACAAATTCCGCCCATAGAGAACTTATTTCAATATGTAGGCAGAGTATACGCAACTGCAATTAACTTTCCTTGCATTATAACCTTGGGTAGAATAAGCTTTTCAAAATGAAGTCCAGCTTGTTTTGTGTCTTTAAAAATTAACGAACATATTTTATCCAATGTACACGCCCGGTACAACTTACAGTAAGAACCAGAAAACTCTGGAATGTGAAGACGATTTTTAGACTCAAGTTATGACATTGAATAGTTTAATGGACAATGAGACACAGTAATTGTTCAGTGTAAACAGATTCATTTAACTTATATGGTGATTTAATAAAAACTATGGTAAAACTATTTGCTTTGTAACAACATCAAATACAAAAAAGTATTGCTTTAATGTCGTCTTCTTATTTCATAGTTTTCTGGTTCTCACTGTACATATATTTCAGCTGCAGTACTTGCCCTTGGAATTAAAAAAGTCGTGAATAATAGAGAGATGTTACTTTGTAACTGCTACTGGATACCGGCTACATTATATATTATTACTAAGACGCTCAGCTTTGTAAGTATATAGGAAATGCAGTCGTCACTTGTTTCCCATGTTTTTTGGATCACCCTGTATGTATATCTAAGACGTGACGGATATAAAGCTTTAGAAGAAACTGAACCAGCTTTAATATATTAGAATACAGCTGTATAGCTAGTATTAAAGATTATACACAACACATTTGTGAATTCTTTTCTATCTATCTATCTATCTATCTATCTATCTATCTATCTATCTATCTATCTATCTATCTATCTATCTATCTATCTATCTATCTATCTATCTATATATCTATCTATCTATCTATCTATCTATCTATCTATCTATCTATCTATCTATCTATCTATCTATCTATCTATCTACAGCGTGAGTCAAAAAAAAGTGTGATTTACGGCGCCTGGTGCAATAGTGTACCTTTTTTGTGCAACTCTTCTGTAAGGTGTTTATTTTAATATTTTTTGAAAATTATTTCTTTTTTTTTGGTCCAAAAAAAATCTGCGAGCATTTTTTTTTATCAAATCAAAGGTTTAGAAAAGCAAAATTTCTGTCCAAAAACATTATAACACTGCTAACCAAAATAACAGTGTTATTATAGTTATTCCATTATTTTAGTGCGTTATGGAAGATATTGTTGTTTCACGTTACACAAAAATAGTAGAAAGTCACATAAAAAGCTGTAATGACGAAATTTAAACACCGCATCACTCACCTCTGCCCCTTTAGTAAAAGTAAATTCAACCTATATGAAGCATAAAATCTGACCGCGTCAACCTTGTTGACGCGGTCCATAGAGCTGTCCATAGAGCTAGATACAGTACAAACTGGGACCGGAAAAGTTGACTCGGCTCGGAAATTCAAATGTACTACGGCTGCCCGTGGCATGCTCAAATTGATAATGCATCTCTTTTTCTATTAAGAAACTTATGTAAAGATATCAAATATATTTTATTTTTTTCTTCAAAATACTCAGAAAATGTTTAAAAATTGATTAAACCATAATTTATTTGGAGAAAAAAATAAAAATCAATGGTACACTAAATTTACCAACATTTGATATGGGAACATTCAGTTTTATACAGGGTGTCCCCTATCAATTCGGACTAATAAAGAGATCGTTTTCCATAAAAGACGATATTCTTTGGAGATGCGCTTACTAAGTTTTCAAAATATCTATCTATCTCANAAGCTACAAGTTTCAGAGTTTTATCTATAATGACGATGGATAAATTAATATCGTCGTCCAAAAAACGAGCCCGTTAATTAGTCCGATTTGATATGGGACACCCTGTAGTATGGAAAGAGAAAAAAACATCTCAGTATTTTAAATTGTTTACAATATATCAGTATGCACACTGCTTATTGTAGTGAACAATGCACATGATAACATTTACATAGGGTTACCAAATTTAAAACTGGGCCAAATTTTTAACGGGTTACCAAATTTAAAACTGGTTAACAAATTTAAAACTGGTTACACAATTTTTAACCCATTTCTGAACAATATCAAAATTTGTGTAATGTGTAAAATTACCTTAATTTTCACTTAACATTTTTATAATATTGCTAGGATTTTAGGGCGCTTCCCGAATCGCGCCCATCTTCTAATTAAATTGTGAACGTGTTCTTTTTGTTTACATTTTTAAACAAAGAAGAAAAAAATTTTGCGGATTTTTAAAAAAAAATTCGCGGATTTTCAAGAATTTAAATTTTTTAACAAAGAAGAAAAAAATTTTGCGGATTTTTAAAAAAAAATTCGCGGATTTTCAAGAATTTAAATTTTTTTTACAAAATTAAAAACCTGTAAAACACATTTTTTATCATTCATAAACCTTCCCTGTGGTCACGTGATGTCCCACAAAAAATTTTGCCCGATTGGTTCAGCCGTTTTGACGTTTATTGGATACAAACAAACAAACAGACAGACAAGCCAAATTTATATATAGATAGTCAGTAGAATCTTTGTGTCACCTTGTTCTTAAGTTAATTTAAAAAACATATATTTAAGTTTTAAACTTGTTAAAATTAAAGATTAAGCTTTAGTACATTAACTTATTCTAAACTGACAAGAACAGGAGCTGACTCATCAGCAGGTGGGTCGTCTTCCGTTCCACCCTCGCCGCCATTTTGTTGTTCAGCATCGCCACCATCTTTACTTTCCTCTACGGGAACAGCTGTTTCTTCATCAGGTGGCGGATTAAACTCAGCTATTTCAGTCTGCATGTGTAAAATGTTTTTGAGTAAAAATCCAAACTTTAGCGTGAAAACATATTATTTTACTATTATTTTTTTCCCTAAAATTTCTCAAAATTTAAACATCAAACGTCATGCAGAAAGTTAAGGTCGTTAACTCCAGTCTATAAGGAGTATTTAAACATCTTTACAAGCGTCTTGTTTTGTAAAGAAATTATTTACAACAATAATGGACAAAAATTATGAAATTAATATTTAATGATTAAGAAAATCAATGATGATAATTGCTAATTGGTTTTCATTATTGATGATAAAAAGAACCTGGCCATAGAAGTTTTTTTTTACAAATAATACATATACTACATATAATAAGTAAGAAAGAGACGTTTGGAAAAAATGCCTTATTGAAGTTTTACTTTTTTAAAGATTGGTGATAATTAAAATTTTGCTGAAAGTTTTTTATCTTGTGGTAGCACCTGCCAATAAAATCCCTTTTGTGGAGATCTTTTAAAAGTAAAAGAAAACTGTCAATATTACAAATATACTGTACATGCATTCACTGTATACTGTACACTGTAGTGTAATATAGTGTTATGTTGAAAATATTTCCTATTTCTCTTGTTAAAGAACCGAAGAACAAAAATGTTTTAAATTTCAAATATCTCTAATCACGGATAAATAGGCTTTTCTTATTCTTATACATGATATCAAACTAAAGGAGCTAAGAGGTTACGTAATTGAACCAATAATATTGCCTTAAGGAATTGAATCTTGGCCACAAACTCATATTTTTTAATCTCCATATCTTCGCAACCTGGTGGTATAAACTTTTGATATTTCAAACTTAGATGATTTGATCTAAATTATAATGCATAGTTTAAGAAGTATCTAAGATATGTGACATCGGGTTGCACAGAAGTATGGATTATGTTGTTGGTGTTTATGTCAAAAACTCATTTCCTTTGAAATTCTTTTTATAGTCATAGTTTGCAGTGATTTAAAAGTACAATGTTATTCACACAATAACGGTGACATGTCTTTTTAGTGACAGTAAAGTCTATTGATTGGAGGTATTTAACCAAGCAGAAATAACAGTAGTTGCTTGCTCAATATTAGTGTCAGATTGATTACTTCTATAGCTGGCATCAATTTCGTCCACGGCTTCGGAAATGACTTTTAAAGCTTCAGATGTGTCCAAAATCTCTTCTGGTTCAACTTTAAGAGGTTCAGATTCAACCTTTTCTGAGTTTTCAGATGCGTTATTTAAAACAGCATCAAGATCAGGTTTGTCAGTACTGACAATCGAAGACTTTTCCTCAGCTGCAAATACAGGGTGATCCAAATTAATCTCTGTTGATGGTAACAATTTGTCATCTGAGGGTAACAATTTGTCATCTGAGGGTAACAGTTTGTCATCTGAGGGTAACAATTTGTCATCTGAGGGTAACAATTTGTCTTCTGAGGGTAAAAATTTGTCATCTGAGGGTAACAGTTTGTCTTCTGAGAGTAACAATTTGTCATCTAAGGATTCTGTTGTGTCTGCATACGGTAACAATTTGTCAGCTAAGGGCAACACATTTTCGGTTGGAGGTAAAACTGTGTCTGCAGCAGGTAACATATTTTCAATTGACGGTATCAGCTTGACCTTTTCATTTTCCTTTTGATCAGGAACATTTTCTTGCTCAGAAGCATCAAGGTTTGGATGGTTTGAACTCTCTTCCTGGGAGCTTCTCGAGGAATTGGAATCATCTGAAGAAGCTTCGGAAGATGAGGAGGATCTGGTAGTTGATCCTGGAGGTGTAGTGATCAAGTTGTCGAACCTGTTTTCTATATCAGGAGTAATAATGTCTGAACCAGTTTCATCTTGATTATCAAAGTTTCTACTTCGTATAAGTTTAGTATGCATTCCTATCCGCTTTCCAACCTAGATGAGATCAATCTTAGCATTTTCTTCGAAATATCGAATTAACAAATGTTTTCGAAATGGTGAACATTCCGTTCGAAATTATGAAGATAATGTTAGGGATATAAATTACTTATACAATTTATTATGTCCCTAACACTATTTTCGTAATATTTACAGTGAGAACCAAAAAACTCTGAAATAATATGAATATGACTTTTAGAATCAAGTTGTAACTTTAAAAGTCCAATGAGCATGAGGCACAGCAGTTGTGCCGTGTAAACCGACCCTTTTCACTAAAACAGTGATTTTATAAGGGTCTAGTGACATCAAATAATGTCGTCTTCCTATTCCATGATTTTCTGGTCATTACTGTAACAAAATCTATGTAATTTCGAAATACTTTCAGTAGTTTGATATTATTAACAAACTGAGCTTTTTTTATTATAATGAAATGTATTTTTTTGAGGGGGGGGAGGAGGGCGGGCAGAAGTATTCCACCATTTTTTTATTTTTAAGGAATAGAGATAAGTTTAATTTAATTTTTCACAAGGTCTTACGTTTAAATAATTCATAAACTAATTTTGGTTTAGTTTTGTGACCTATTTAAACCTATACTTTTCTTTTTTAAATAATTAATTAAGCATTGTTAAGGCTATAAATTACCATTTTTTCATGAAAATAAATAATTCTGCCATTTTTTAAAAATATTTTCTTTAGAAAGCTAATTCAACGGGTGAAATATTATTTTCATTTGAACCATTTCATTTCTGAAATATAATTTAGTTTTAATAGGTCCAGATTGAAACGATAAGATTGAACTCATGAAATAATGTCAACTTAGCATTCAAAATTTGGAAGAGTTGGTATGATTTCAAGCAAACCTCCATTTAAAAATTGGGACATTTCCTCTATCACTGTAAACTCCAGTTTATTTAAAGTACTAGGACGACTTTTAAGCAGTTACAGCACGTGAACAGTACACATGAAGACTATATCAGGCAAAATGGGAAAGTACACCAAAAAGAATCAGAACCTCTACAAGGAGATTGTTTCTTCAAGTCACTTTTTTAACGAAACCACAAGAACGGACGTGACTTGAAATTACGCATACAGTCCCTTTAAGACTCACCAAAATGTCAGGAAGCCTCTCCGCAGATTCCCAAGTTCTTAAATATGTTCCATCTTCTTCTCCTTCTTTTTGCTTCTCTTCCTTCTTCACATTTTCCTCTTCTTTTCTTCCGGATATACTTGGGTTCTCTCCCTCACTCTGAAATTAGATGCACACAAAACCAAACCAAACCAAACAAAAACCAAAACCAACCAAAATGAATCAAATGTAGAAATGCACACTACTGCCATATTTGGCATTATGAATCCATCTTGGCAAAATTCGAAAATTATTTAAAATCTAAATTTCCTTATTTGTTTAGAAATGAAAATTGTTTATAAGATAAAATTCTAGTTTTTCTATTTTTTATTCTTTCGAAGGGTGTCCTAAAATGCTCTTTAGAAATATGCCAAGTTTAAAAAGTATTTTGAACACTATCGCTGATAACATGACTGTTGGTAAATAGTATTGAATGTCTTCTTCCATATGCTGTATTAAATATTAAAGACTTTTCGCTGTTTATTTTGCTAAAAAAATGTTTTACTCGAATATATTTTACTTTGAAATCAATTTTTCTATAATATGACTGCCTTGGGATATTTTTGTCATTCTTTGGTATCAAATGACTTTACAAATTATGGAAGAAGACATTTTAAACTATTCACCAACTGTCATGTTTCGTGGTACACCCTGTGCGTACGATACAGTGTACTGTACGTGGGACAAAAAGATAATGAAAAACAAAGAAACACACAATATGATTGAAATAGCTATTTTTACAGCAATACAAATGAAAAGTACACTTCAGCAAGACTTTTAAACTTCAAAGCATGTTCTGAATCTTTATGAACGTATTTATATTAAAAATCTTTTCAGAAGAAAAACTTTTTTTTATAAAATTACATTTATAAACATTTTTAATTTTCTTTAAACTTATCTTTTTTATCTAATCGCCATGAGGCTTCATAAGTTTAAAAGTAAATTCTTGCAATCATGTACATATTGTACACACGTTTCATAAACATTCTCAGACAAAAATATTGTCATTTCTCATAATCAAATTAAACTCATTTGGCAAAGTTTTCTGTCCTTTTTTTAGCCGCGAACAAACAATAGACAAGACAAATATGTAAGAAGAGACTATTGTTATAATAATCCTCCATTAAAAAGGTGTGAGTCCGATTCACAACAGTACCCTGTAAACTTTTATCTGATCAATAATGCAGAATATATTGACTTTATCTAGCTTGAAAAAGTTTTAATTAAAGATTAAAAAACCTCCATTGTTTCGAAAGCAAAAAAGCTTCTTGATCAGGTGAAGCTTTTGAGGACACCGAGGTAAATCAGACATGCCACTCTGTACACGGAGAGTTATTTGAAATTATGTCAACAATCTCTTTATGTGAATACCAAGATTAACATGAGCTTAGTGGTTCTGGTAAGGGCCAGGGGTTTATGTTTTTTATATTTGAAGGAATTACGGGAATTGGATATTTACACGCAAGTTTCTATCAATGTTTTTAGTGATATAAATCTTTAAGGATTACTTCACATGTGAGGGGGGGGATTTTTCAATAAAATATAAACCCCTGGATTCTTCCCAACATTACTAAGCTGTTTACAAAAAATCTCAAACCATATCTCACCACTGGTTTGTCGTCTTCCTCCGATGAATTGGTTTCCGGTATTGACCCACCACACCCCATTCTAGTGTCTAGATTATGATATATTTTTAAATGGAGTTTTTGTGAAAAATGAAAATTGATGTGAAATAAATCCGAATTTAATTCGTTATCGATTGGTTTTAATAAATAACTTCGTTACTGGAATGAGAAAAAAAAATTCTTTCCGGGTTTAGCTTTTGTACCGTCATCATCAAATTCTGATGATAAAAGATTGAAACTTATTAAACTAATTCTTTATTATTCAAAATAAAAGAATGTCGAATAAAAATCTTTTCTTTCCTTTAAAAGTGGAGCATAATGTTTTTGTTTAATTTAATATTTACATCTAAAAACCTTATCTTTTTCAAACTTAAAATTAAAATAGATTTAAAATATTGTGCCTCCAAGCTAGTTATCGTTAGGAATGGATCCTTTTCACTTTCACGATTGTTTCATTTTGAAAACGATAAAGAAAAAAAGAAAAGCAAAACTATCGTTTTTCGGTAAAAATTACAAACAATCGTTAAAAAAATAGATTTTCGTTTTTAAAAATGATCGTTTTTGAAAATGATCCTCAGTTTAGAACCATTAACAACGATCTTTAACGACCTTTTATAGAGAAAATACATATTTTTGTAGGAAAATCCGAGGTCAGGAAACTTTCAGGTTTTTTGTTTCGATAAAAAAATTTAAGACAACATTCATAACCTTATATATCTTTCTGAATTTTTTTTTCTTCATAAAACTCAGATTCATTAGCGACAATTTAAAAAAACTGTTGTTTAAAAAAGCAATCGTATTTCAAAAACGATCGTTTTTCGTTTTTAGAAATTTAAAAACGAGTGATCCATTCTAAAAACGATATTTTTTTTCAAAAAAGAAACAATCGTTTTTTGAAAAAAAAAATAAAAACGCAATAAAAAACGATCGTTTTTCGATCCTTTTTAAAAACGATTAACAACCTTACTTAAAGTAATCAAAATTTTTGGAATATTTTAGAAATCTAACGATGAAAACATGAAATCTGCGAAAATGTGTCCTAGAAGCGCCTCGCCTCCTGGGAGCCCTGATGTTTACAAAAGAGCTATTTCATTTAGTTGTTCGCATGCCGGATAATTTGTGTAAACTGTACAAGTTAACCTCTGAGGTTCTCGGGGTTTTTACCCTAAAATATTAATTATAATTAGAAAATAAACTCAACCTTTCGATAGAACCTTCACCATTCCACCCTACCGCCACCCCCCTTATTGACAACAAGAAGAAAAATTTGAACATAATTATTCACACTGGACTAACCAGGGCTAAATGTGATTCGTTTCTTTAACTTGAAATCAATTTCGTTTTGGTTTTGGTCTACAACTCAACAATCTTTAAACTTAATACGTAGTTGTCTACATTTTTTAATTAAAACGCATCCACCAACAATTGGCAAATTTTTGGAAAGATTTCTTAAATCTTTAAATTTAACTCAACGTGTTCAGTTGTACTGCTCTGGTTGCAACAGTCATACATACAGGATACATACATACAGGATACATACATACAGGATACATACATACAGGATACATACATACAGCTCATCTCTAATCAGAAATGAACAATTTTAACACCAAAATCCACGATCATTTAATACTCAAGATGACTCAAGTTCAGGGGCGGATACAGGATTTAAGTGAGGGGGGGGGGCAATATTTTTTAGGAACAAAAAATCGCGGCGCAGGCGAAAATTTTTTTTGACTTCAAAGACTCAAAAAGAGTTAAAATTAATGACTAAAGACTAAAAAACTAGATTTTTAACTTTTCACACATTATAGTTTATTAAGACAGATATTTTTCCTGTTTTGAACTAGGGTTTCTTTCCCTTAAGCATGCTATTGAAAAGCTATTCTGAAAATAGGAACAAAAATTCCAAATTCAGGGGAGGGCGAATGTCACCCCGCCACTCCCCTGTATCCGCCCCTGCTCAAGTTTGGTTTATAATTCTATATATATTATTACTTTACCAACCTAGGATGATCATTTTAGGTATTTTTACATCCTGGGTATAATAAGAAATTTTTTGAGAAGAAGTTTTTCTGTCTGATTCTTCTGATTCTAAACTTGCTAGTTTCTTAATTCAAATTAGAGCTAGGATGTATATGTATAGTATTCTTCATAAATAAATAAATAAACATAGATAGCTTATGTACGCAAAATCACCAAGAATTGTACAGTCCGCGAACTCATACTTCTAGGGGTCAAAGTGTAATTCAATGATAAGCGGGATGGTTTGGTGTTTTAATGGATTTTATAATAGAGTGTAAAGTAACTCCGGGAATGGAACTATTTGAACAGCAATATTTCAATGAGCAATTTATCATATTGACGAGAGCTGAAGAAGGACGTGAGAAGGACTAAACCAACTAAAATTTATCTCTACAGAACTCATGTACACCACAAGTACTCAATGACATAAGAACAGCCAATGTTCACAACCGACCTAGTTAATCTATATAATAGGAATATCTTTAAAACATCTCTGTACATTTATATCTTTCAAGATGAAAAATGTCGTCTTATGCACAATCTATCTTTATCTATGGTATTATAAATGTTATTTCTAGGGTCGACTACGAATGTAGCTAACTCAATTGGAAATATGAAAGAGAATAAAGTAAAAAAAATATAATTAAAAGGTCCAATTGGGATCGAAATTTCAAGTTTGCTGGGGCAAGGACCGAACGGTTAAATCAGTGTGGTATTGTTAAATTTCCATTTAGTTTGATAAAATTTAAGATTTAAGGTAGATTAAGATTAAACTTCAGATTTAAATTATAAAAAAGTCTGGGACGTGGCTGAAAGGTGAAAATTTCACAAGTCCTGCGTCACAGAATGAATTTTTGATGTTGCAATTAATGAAAGTTAATCTATTTTTGACAACTTTTCCATTTTTCTTTAATTTTTAACATCACAACCTTTAATTCTACCTTATTATTGTAAAACAAAAACAGAAAAGTTGCAAAAACATATTCGAAATTTTTTTTTAATCTTAGTAATCAAATGTTTGATAACTTAGGATTTGTAAGGAAACTATGATGATTGGACAAAGCAATAAGAATACATTTTTTAAAATGTCAATAGGTGGGAACCAGAAAATTGTGGTAGATGAAAACGACATTTTTACTGTGACATTTTTACAGTAGGTTTAAAAGTTAGACTTTTAAAAAAGTAAGCGATTAACATAGATGATTGAATAGCATAAACATTGTGAATGATATTTTGTGACTATATATCTACCCGGTCTTTCAATCTTGATTTGATTAGTCATTAATCTTCTCTGAAGCCCTAGAATCTAGCTTTAAGCTTAACTCAACAGTAGAACACAGTCTTCATATTATAAACAACATGCAGCCATCTTTATAATATGCATTTAAAGCCATCTTTTTATATCTAAATTTCAAATTTGATAAGGTTATCATAAAAAACATGATTTAGTGATTTGATCAACTTTATCAACGTATTTTTAATCATTTTCTCTCTTTTTTAATATTACGTAATTCACAGCGATACCTTTATCTTATCAATAATGTGGAAGATATTGAATAGTTAAAAGTATTTAATTTTTATAATTCCTTTATTTTCTTTCAAACAAATGCGCAATTCACTTTTGTAGAGAACCTACTATTTAAAATAATCAGTTTTAAAAATCATAAACATCGATATCTAATTCATACTTGATCAGACAAAGGTTTTAAAGGTACGGTTGTGAATCTGGAAAGGTATTTTTCTCTCTAATTATTAAGGGACCGTGAGCGTGATTTGAAGTGACTCTCCGTTTATAAAGTGGCATGCCCCTTTATTCCTGAATACGCCCCTGGGCATGTCCGATTCAAAGTTTAACGTTTAGCTTTGTTCAATCAAGAATAAATGAGATATCCAGGTTTTCCTTGTTGAAATTAGCTTGTAAATCGAGTTTAAATGATGGGTCATCTGAAATTACATGTAGTATAAAAAGTGATTTTAATTCAGACAAAAATGAATTTATTGTTTGCTCTGATTGCTTCAGTAACCATATCAATGGCAGCAGGTGAATACTCTATAGCAAGAAAAAGGTACTGAAAACCTGCCAAAAACTTGAAATCCCCTTATCTTTATAATCTGATCTTGACCTTTGACATTTTAAACTACGAGTTCTGTTCGATGAAATATTCAAACTTTGTAAAACAATCAAAGGTTTTTTGTCTGTTTGTTTGTATCCAATAAACGCCAAAATGGCTGAACCGATCGGGCCCAAATTACATGAACCCAGGGAAGGTTTATGAATGATCCAAGCCTTAAAAATTAGGCTCCAGCAAAAATCGATTTTTATTGAATTTAAAAAATCCACGAAAATTTTTTGTTTGTTTTTATTTTACAATGTATCTAAACAAAGAGAAAATATGTTCACAGTTGAAATAGAAGATGGGCACGAAGCGCCCTGAAAATCTAGTATTACATGTATTAATGGCGTAGTTTAAATTAAAAAATTTAAAATACAATTTATAATTAGGTCTCTGCTGTCCCTGGCACCCAACAGAGGATATAAAATGTGCGTGTGATGACGGAGAACTAGGTAAATTTTCTTATTTATGAAAAATGAATTACAACAAGAGCTTGAATTTTCCCAGTTGTCCTTTTTATTTTTATGTAATGAAACTTTTCAAGTTTTTTTATTGTCAAAAGTTCATTTTTTAAAATTCTTTTTATATGACTTGCGGACTTCTGCTGCAGAAACAATGAAGCTTAATGTGAGAATTCAACACTTTTCAAGACAGGAAAACAACAACATCTTCCTCAATTATTATTACTTTAGAGGTTTCAAGGGCACTGCTGTGAGTCGGACATGGCAATCTTTTTTAAATGAAGATGACTAGAAATTTGTCTATACAGTATGTCGTTCTTGAAAACGTTTACTAAACTGACGCTTGAATCGCTTAAACTGTGTCTAGTTCACCCCTGGGAATGCTGCAGTGTGGGGGACTGTAATGTATTCTGCTGCAATTGTGATGGAGAATGCAGGTTATATTTCTAATCCTTCTTTCCACAGGACTTTAAATCAAATTTACGAGAAATGTAATCTTGGCACTGACTTTAGAGTGAACCCATTAGTCCCGTTGGTTTCCTCAAAGCTAATTGTCTTTTGTTTTTGCGGCGTATTTGCAATTATAGCCAATTATGCTTCAATTTTTTTTGCCTGAGACATACTTATCTGATATTATATCATTATATAACACCAGAGCTGAAAACTTCTTGGTATCCACCATTCTAAAGTTTTCAGCTCAGATGATTCAATATGAAAATTGCCAATTGGTGGTTCAAAACTAACTAAAGAGACGAATTAACAAATTAGAATTTATTCAGATAATGTGAAAAGATTATTTTAGTTCACTATAATAATGATCTTTTTTGTGAGAATTATTTCCGGGATCAAATATCTTTAAAACGGAAAGACTTTCTTCCTGTTTCAACGACAGGGTAATTCCCACAACCAATGACAACCCGTAATTCATCAAATAGTGAGGAAATCAGTGCAATTTGTTCTTTTGCATGAAACCTAAAAAAATAAACCTTACTAAAAGAAGAAAAAGTTAATTTTGAAATTTTTTGATGACTCGTTAAGTCATTATAAAGGTCAATTGGTAATTATTATCATTAAAGTCTCAAAACAAAGTAATTTAAACTTTTAAGTGTTCAATATGACTCGTGTTTCATATAAACAGTCAATAACAACTTATATTTACCTTGACTTCTCTCATTTTAACAAGAAACCCTTAAAACAAGTTGGACCAGTTTTTAATCTAATTCGATGAAGAAAAAAATCAAGTTGTTTAATCCAATAATATTGTGTCATAATAATCTCTCAAACAAAGCCCAAGAATGCAAGTCGAAGGTCAAAGCTCCGCAATGAACATGCCGGGTATATAATTTTGAACTTTATTAAGCTTGTCGGGGACCGATATTAAAGTTTAAGTGTTGTTCTCAGTAGCAAAAATAACAAGATTTAATTGACGTACGAGAGCTTTTATGCACCTCCTTGAAGATTTTGTGCCCCCCCCCCCCCTTAGAAACCCTTATTTTAATCAAATTACTGATTATTTTTTTATCTATAAAAAATTGCAAGCCCTTGCGCGCAATTCCACGCAACGGAATTCCGATTGGAAACTCTAGTTTAGAACATATATTTGTTGATTATATATCAGAGTTTTAAAAGAAATGAGATGTTGCAAAAACTCCAAACTTATAATCCCTATATATCTATGCAACCCGATGACGTAGATCTTAATATTTCAAACAATGAATTCTATGAACAATGAAAAATGCTTATGCTTAAAATAAGATTTACACCATCAGGTTTCAAAAAAAAAGGAATTAGAAAATTTGAGTTTGAGCCAAAAACTTTGTTGCTTTCTTGAAAAATCTTTCGGCGCAGTATAAAAATGTGCAGGGTTTTATTTGCTGAATATTTTGTATGAATTGTAAAAAAAAGGATAAAAACATGTTTTTTGATATTAAGTTCCACCCCACCTTTACTCCTGTCAACATGTATACATATACCGGCTGCAGTACAATCTGTCAGCTGAATCAGTTGAATTACACCTTATAGTTACTATGGAACTCAGACAAAGGATCCTAGACTTGTATCATCAGTTTTCTCTATCAGGCCTAGATGTTTCACTAAACCTGTGGTATAGGGGAGGTCAGGAGTTTTTCACACTCACGAATTCTCCTCATCCTTGTCCGGGGATTCTCTGTCATCAGGATGGAACCAGGAGAAACAAAACTCAAACACAAACTCAGATTCGAAACTTAAGGAGAAGGATAAAGAGAAGAAAAGAAATCCTGAGGCCTGTAAATGGTACCCTCGGAGCAATTTCTTCAGCAGTTCCTGACCTTGGAACAGGTTCCAGTACAGCCGAAGCCCCTAGAATGGTTCTATCCAAAGAAAGAACCAGCAGTAAAGGTTTCAGCCAGTTAGGACCCAAAAGAACAGGTGCAGGTCAAGGAGGAACACTTAAAGCAGTTTCTGATAGCACAGGAACCCCTAGAGCGGGTTCTACTGGTTTAGGAGCCCATAGAGGAAATCTTCCAGGATCCAGAGCTCTGAGACCAGTTTTTCCTAGAGCTTTTAGAACCCACAGAGCAGGTTTTAGTAAAGAAGGAGGACCTAGTTTTTTTAAAACTAAAAAACCCTGGTGCAGGTTCCTCTACAGTAGGAGCCCCTGGTGATGGTTCCTTTACAGTAGGTGCCCCTGGCGATGGTTCCTCTACAGTAGAAGCCCCTGGTGATGGTTCCTCAACAGTAGGAGCCCCTGGTGCAGGTTACTCTACATATGGAGCCCCTGGTGATGGTTTACCTACAGTAGGAGCCCCTGGTGCAGGTTCCTCTACATATGGAGCCCCTGGTGATGGTTTCTCTACAGTAGGAGCCCCTGGTGATGGTTCCTTTACAGTAGGTGCCCCTGGTTATGGTTACTCTACAGTAGGAGCCCCTGGTGATGGTTTCTCTACAGTTGGAGCCCCTGGTGCAGGTTCCTCTACATATGGAGCCCCTGGTGAAGGTCCTTCCGTTGTAGGAGACCCTATTATTGCAGGTTCCCCAATTCGAGGAGTACTATCTAGTGCTTCTTACACAGAAACTTTCCCATCCTGTGATGTGAGCTTCCCGAGGGAATCTCTAATCCCCCAGTTGGATGGATCAGATCCCTCCCCAAAGTCCAACCTCATCTTTCAGTTCCTACAGTATGTTTGGATATTGTACTTCTGACATGTGTAATCTTTGCCCAAAAAGAACAAGAGCAAAAGAGCAATAACTATAATGTTAGGAAGAATACGACTGGACTTGATGAGACTGCTGGGTTATATTCCGAGGATGCAATGATTGAGCTGTATGAGACTGAGGCTGCAGAGGACGAAGAGGAGGATTGGGATTTACTTTTCAACGCTGACCGGCTTACACCCACTGTACAGGTTCAAAATATAATTAAACGAAATGCTTTTAGTCAAGTTACGCATGATTCAAGGTTCTTTAAGAAGGTTGTCGTCTCCTTAGCATAGATAAAAAGAATCCGCATACCGCAAATGACGTCACTGATTACAGAGGCGAGCGTGACGTTACATGCAGATTCTAGCCGACATTTTCCGTACATTGGAGCGCATCCAGAGTAACCAACCTTACTAAAGAACCTTGGAATGATTAGTAAGTTTGAGTGTGAGTCGAGTAAGCAGTAACCTTGTTTAATGGAATTGAGATATTTAAGTATCTATAGTGACCGCCATAAAAATGTGGAATGCAAAGACAACATTGAAACAATCAATAATTTGTATTTGATGTCTTAATAGAGCAAATAGTTATACAAGTTTTAAGTTTAACTTTTACACAAAAATAGATCTGTAAACACTGCACAATTGCTTTTTCTCATGTTAATTGGACTGTTTAAAATCAAAATTTTAATATAAAGTCGTCTTCTTATTCCACATGATTCTAGATGCTGGGTAGATCTAAGAAGTAGATTTTTGCATAGTTTTTTGGTCGTTTTTGGCATATATATTCTATCAGGGTCATAATTTGTATAATAAAACAACACATTCGTATATATATATATGTGTTGCGTATAGCCGGCTTAACATCTGAACCATTGGGCTGAAATTTTTTGTGGACACTTATGGATGGCCAGGGGTGTTATAGGGTAAACAAATCGAAAATATTTTTTCATTTTTTTCTCATTTTTTCCATGAGCAACGCCTGGCCCTTCAGCTAATTAAAAAAAAAAAATTGTTCAGAATTCAAAATTTAAAAACATTTGTTTCTCTTTCATTATGCCAAATTTTGCCCCTGAAAGAAAATCTCTGCAAAAAAAAACGAGGGAATAATGAACCAGCTGAAAGTACATGACTAAACCTGATTCTCACTGTATGTATCCAGATGCTGGGTAGATCTAAGAGGCAAGTGGGAGGACTGAAAGGAACTATCCTTAAATTTAAAATGTTGGATGAAGATGATTCCTACAATCTAGACCCTATAGAGATCTCAAAGTAAGGTCCTTTCAAAGGTTCTTGAAAAATGTGTCGAAAAATAATCATTCAGATATTACAACCTATAGTCATCGATTATCTTTCGCAACATTTGTATAAAGTTTATGTTTTATAATATTTTTGATTTCATTTTTTTAAAGATATTTCTCTGGCGCTGGATTTTCGAACATTCCTGGAAAATATGATAATGTCGTCTTTATTATCAAAAATCCTAGAATCAGGAATAAAAGTAACTATCAGATCATAAAAATAGAAAATATAATGAAATATCAACTAAATATGAATGCGTCGAAAAATAATCGACGACTACGGTTTGTAATATTTGAATAATTTGTTTGAAATTAAATTTATTATTTTATGATACAAGTTGTATATTGCAACTTTCTGAATTTGTATGGACGCTATACGTTCTTCATTATAAGTCGTGTGTAACTATTTTTCTCCTTATAGACGCAACAGATAGAAGTAAGATTAGTAGCGATCAAAAGCGATTATTTTCGCCGTAAGCCTATACCCCTTTTTATTTTTCGCGAACACTCCCTTTAACCAACTTTTTTTTATCTATTTTGGTCTTGCTTTGGCCTATATTTAAACAATCAATAATTAAAGGCATAATGTTCTCGACACACTTACAATAGAATAATTATTATATATATTTTTTCTGTCGCTTAGATTTTTATGATTTTTAATACTTTGACTAATAATAGTAATTATTTTGGAATGACATTTTCGAATTATGAATTATTTCTCGATTTTGAGTCAGCGACATTTCAAAATAGAAAGAAAGGAACAAAAATGCAATTTTTACTGATTACTATTGAGTATATGTTCGTCCGTAGACTTTTCGGCGATGTTGACGAAATCACCTTGGCCCTGGCAAAGACCATCTTGGACGAGTTGGACATAGACATGGATGGGTTTCTTCAGCCTGGGGAGTTCGACAAGGGAGGACGCAACATTCATTTATTTATTTATTCAGTTATTTATTTATTCATTTAGTCATTTATTCATTTATTCATTTATTCATTTATTCATTTATTCATTTATTCATTTATTCATTTATTCATTTACTCATTTATTCATTTATTCATTAAATTCATTTACTCATTTTTTCATTTATTCATTTATTCATTTATTCATTTATTCATTTATTCATTTATTCAACCTTATTTTCCTTTTATATTTTTTCTTTTAGTTTGTGTCTTCATATCTTAGTAAATCAGCTATCAACAAGCTTGCCGCGGCCGGATACCAGAACGTCTCATTCTTTGCGGGTCACCCTGCATAGCTGCTTATTATTGTATAATTACCTAACAATGCCGATTTGAAACCATTGACCGTCGTCTTCACAAACCAGGGGTCCTCCCCCATCCCCCTAAACGTAATTTATATGAATTTGATAAGATTTGGTTCTCTGGTATGATCCAAACCCTGGAGTTCTTTGGTAGGATCCAAACCCTAGAGTTCTCTATTAGAATCCAAACCATATAACTCTCTGGTAGGATCCAAACCCTGGAGTTCTCTGGTAGAATCCAAACCATGAAGTTCTCTGGTATAGGATCTAAACCCTGGTGTTCGCTGGTAGGATCCAACCCCTGGAGTTCGCTGGTAGGATCCAAACCCTGGAGTTCTCTGGTAGGATCCCAACCATGTAGTTCTCTGGTAGCATATAAACCCTGGACTTCTCTGGTAGGATTCAAACCCTGTAATTCTCTGGTAGGATCCAAACCCTGTAGTTCTCTGGTAGAATCTAAACCATGTAGTTATCTGGTAGGATCCCAACCCCTGGAGTTCTCTGGTAGGATCTAAACCATGTAATTCTCTGGTAGAATCGAAACCATGTAGTTCTCTGGTAGGATCCAAAACCTGGACTTTTCTGGTAGGATCCCAACCATGTAGTTCTCTGGTAGGATCTAAACCATGTAGTTCTCTGGTAGGATCCAAACCCTGGAGTTCTCTGGTAGGATCCAAACCCTGGAGTTCTCTGGTAGGATCTAAACCCTGGAGTTCTCTGGTAGGATCTAAACCACCATGTAGTTCTCTGGTAGGATCCAAACCCTGGAGTTCTCTGGTAGGATCTAAACCCTGGAGTTCTCTGGTAGGATCTAAACCCTGGAGTTCTCTGGTAGGATCCAAACCCTGGAGTTCTCGAGAAAATTTTCTTCAGTTTCTAAGAACTTGAATATTTCTCTGCCCAGCCTTGGAATCTTCGGGAAAAATCTAGAATTTCCTCGGAACAAATAATCATAGAAATAGTATTAAAGGGACTATCATCGTAGTTGTAATTACAGATTCTCAAATTAAACCCTTTCAACCTTAATTTTAAAAGTAGAAAATAACGTTGTTTTTTGTTATGACAAATCATTTATGTATTGACCCCAAAAATGAAAAAATTAATATTTTAAAACAAAAATTTAGAGTTGATCTGAAAAAGGTTTTGAGGGTGCCAATGTAAATCTGACATCCCATTCTATAAATGGAGGAAATGAAATTATGTTTACATTCCCTTTAAACAAAAACATTTCACAGAAGAATCGTCTTTTTAAATATGATTTATTACAGAATCTAAACACTACTTGTTGGGGNGGATATTTTTCTTTTTATTACAGGATTTCCCACAAAGGATATAGGGCTTTATAAGACGGACCTTAAGGGGAGTGACCGGCAATGTATGGTAGAACTGAGATTGGAGTATAATTGAGAAATTTTTTAGAATTCATCTAAGACCTGTGAGACGTTTTTTGGGGTGCCTATTTATTTAGCAAGAGCGCAAATACAATCTTTAAAATTCTCAAATAGATTGTCCATTTTGGAGGTATGATTTTGAGAATCGTTTTTTAAAATGTAACGAAAATTCTACAGTAAACTAATTAGTGTTCAGGATCTGGTTGAAAAAATAAAAAATTGAGTCTTTTCCTCAAAATTAAGTAATCTTATTCAGTTGTTGCTTACTGTAATGTCTCAATATTCAAAACCATTTACTGTAGATTTCCTGGAATTTTATTGAAAAGACGCCATTTGAAGAATTTGAACAAATCTGCGAACAAATTCATAAAGAATAAGAAAATCAAAATAATGAAAAATAGACAATTGATTCTAACATTGATTTATTGGGAAATTTCTAATAAGAAATGTTCCTAAACATCTAATTAGTTTCCTGTAGAAATTTTGTTAAATTTTTCTTCGTCGTTTTTGAATAACTTTTTAAAAACTGATTCTCAAAGTCATTCCTCCAAAATGGACAACCAATGAGGATTTTAAATATTGAATTTGCGAATTTTCTGAACAAATATGCACCGTAAAAACGTCTGATAGGTCTCAATAATACTGCAATCTCAGTTCAACTTCCATACAATGCAGGTCACTCCCTTTAAACGCTTTAACCTAACTATCTTATTGTTGAATTTGGATTTTTGTCTTGAATAGTCTTTTAATGGTATAAATTAGATGATTTGGCAAAGAAAGAAACAAGATATAGCTGCAGTACCTATGAAAGTATGAATTGAATGAAATTGAATGCTCATGCTTTGTGGATAACCCTGTACTATGTATTTATAAACCTAACTTACATCACAGGCATCTCTCCCCTGGGCTCCGGCACATAGTGCTGAGGTGGGCAGTGTATAGCTCGGACCAAACTGAGACTAAACAAAACATTTTTTTTTCCCTTTAACCCCTTCTCTTTTAAGGGACTAACCCCGAATTTCAAGAATTTGAGACGCGGCTTAAATATGTGACGCTCGTTTAAATGCCCTAAAAGCCGGCTTATGAACAGCTGACTTTAGTTCAATCGGATATTAGTCCAATCGATCTAGCATCTTTTCTGTATTGGAAATCAAACGTATCTTTATTACATGTGGTAGGATGTGTGATATCTAACGACATTGGATTAAAAATAATATTTTCACAGTGAATATTCAGATTAAGCGATCAAGATTAATGATATCCAATTCTAAAGTTTTCAGCACTGTGCAGAATTTTATATATTAATGTTTCTTTTTTTTGAAAACTGATTTTCAATTTTCAATTGTGATTTCTGCTTCAGAAATATGTTGGTAAACTATCAGAATCAAACCCGTTCAACGCTAAAACACGAAGATATATTCCAAAATATTGATCAGGCAAAGCACACTCCTGTATCAGCTTCAGTAATTGTAAATTGGCGGTTGTACAGTCCAAAGTAGAACTGCAAAGGTTGGTCCAGCTCGTATGTACAAATGTAAACCGGTGGGGCGTAAGAGGTTTACAGAATTTCCCCCATGAAGCATGGAGGGAGTTATACTTGAAATTAAGCTTACACTCAATTTTCGCATTTCTGAAGAACTTTGAATTTCAGTTTAAAATTAATACCTCAAACATTCTAAAAAAAATTTAAATTATTTATATTTCATGCCTGTAGTGCCGCGTTGCATTTGCTTTGATCCCAGAGAGGAACAGATATTTCCTTCAGAATCACACTGTGCTCACTTTCTTTAGAAAATAGAGAAGCAATAATATAATTCAATCATTTTCTATTTCTAGCTTTAATAAAAAAGTTATTAAAGTTTTATTATTGTGCAAGGTAATTATTAAAAATATATATTTGAATATCAAAATCTTTTAAAGATAAAAAATTTAGATTAAAAATCCTACCCTCGTCCCTTCTACCCCAGCCGGTAACATAGCAGTTTGTGAACACAGATAAATCTAGTCCCTTATCCTCAGGGACACATACAACATCTATATTCTAGAAAATACATATACAACATCTATATTCTAGAAAATACATACAACATCTATATTCTAGAAAATACATATACAACATCTATATTCTAGAAAATACATATACAACATCTATATTCTAGAAAATACACATACAACATCTAAAATACAACATACAAATTTAGTTAGTTCCTTTACTTATTTCAAACCTTTAATCTCTCAGCTTATTAGAATCCTTTTTATTTCTCAGCTTATTTAAATCCTTTTTATTTCTCAGCTTATTTCAATCCTTTAATCTCTCAGTTTGTTACAATCCTTTAGTCTCTCAGTTTGTTACAATCCTTTAGTCTCTCAGCTAACTATAATCCATTAATCTCTCAGCTTATTTCAATCCTTTAATCTCTCAGCTTAGTTCTATACTTTAATCTTTCAGCTTATTTCAATCCTATAAGTTCTTAGTTTATTTCATCCTTTAATCTCTCTGTTTAATTCATTATTTTCTCAGTTTTTATCAATCCTTTAATCTCCCAGGTTATTTTGATCCTTTAATAAGTCAGTTTGTTACAATCCTTCAGTCTCTCAGCTTATTTTTATTCATTAATCTCTCAGCTTATTTCTATTCTTTAATCTCTCAGCTTATTTCGATCCTTTAATCTGTCAATTTGTACCAATCTTTTAATTGTTCAGATTATTTGGATCCATTAATCTGTCAGCTTATTTCAATTCTTTAATCTCTCAGCTTATTTAAATCCTTTAATCTCTCAGCTTATTTTGATCCATAAATCTCTCAATTTGTTACAATCCTTTAATCTCTTAGCTTATTTCAATCCTTTAATCTATCAGCTTATTTCAATCCTTTAATCTATCAGCTTATTTTGATCCATTAATCTCCCAATTTGTTACATTCCTTTAATCCCTCAGCTTATTTTGATCCATTAATCTCTCAGCTAACTTTAATCCATTAATCTCTCAATTTGTTACAATCCTTTATTCCTTTAGCTTATTTTGATCCATTAATCTCTCAGCTAACTTTAATCCATTAATCTCTCAGCTTATTTTGATCCATTAATCTCTCAATTTGTATCAAAAAGCTAAAATATTTATGATTTGCTTTTTCTTCATTTCAAACACATTTTTAAACAAAAAAATTATATTTAAGAATTATTATCTTTTAGTTCATTCCTTTAATTTCTACTGACAAGAGAAACTTTCTTAAATTTTATCTTTTTTGTTATAATTTTATGAATATCTAACCTGTTTTCTTTTAGCAGGGTGTTCTAGCTTGAGAAGTGCAATATCATTTACTGATTTGACAGGGTTGTTTTCATATTTATATCAACATAACATAATGTTAAATTTTTCTTATTTCAACAAATGGCTGAAAATGTATCATTTACTTTGTATAAAGTGCCATTTAAAGGGAGTGTTCGCGAAAAATGAAAGGGGGTATAGGCTTACGGCGATAAATAATCGTTTCTGATCGCTACTAATCTTACTTCTATCTGTTGCGTCTATATGGAGAAAATTGTTAAAAACGTCTCATACCGAAGAACGGAGCGTTTATACAAATTGAGAAAGTTAGAACATACGACTTGGATCGTAAAAAATCAAATTAATATCAAAAAAATAATTTAGATATTAAATCCTATAGTCATCGATTATTTTTCGACGCATTTGTATATAGTTGATATTTCATAATATTTTGTGTTTTTTAAATTAATATTTCGCTTACAACTTGTTTTCACGACTGGCGCGTTCCCGGAGATATGGAAAATGTCGTCTTCATTAGCAAAATCCTCGAAACAGGAATGAATGTTTTCAAAAGTCACTCTCAGATCATAGATAGTAAAAAATATTATAAAAATATTAACTATATACGAATGCGTCGAAATAGAATCGATGACTATAAGTTGTAATATCTGAATGCTTTGTCTTGAATTAAATTAATTTTGTTACGATCCGAGTCGTATGTTGCAACTTTCTGAATTTGTAAGGAATCTACGTTCTTCGGTATGAGACTTTTTTAACAATTTTATCATTATAGACACAACAGATAGAAGAAAGATTAGTGGCGATCAAAAGCGATTATTTATCGCCGTCGTAAGCCTATACCCCCTTTCATTTTTCGCGAACACTACCATTAAAGTTTCATCAGATTTGAAAAAAAAAACTCTGTTTTCCTAAAGTAGCGTTATTAAAAAACGGATGAATTCTGATATCTGACACATTTATTTCCTGAAAATATATACATTATATAAATACAACTAACGTTAGTAAAGGAATTCAGTCTTTGCCACAAACTCTGATTTTCTAATCCCTTTCTTTGGAACCCGAGTTAATGTCATAGACCTTTGATATTTTGTACTAGAACTAATCTAATTTTTAAATATCAAATGCTTACGCCATCAGGTTGCAAAGATATAGGGATTAGAGAATTTCAGTTTGTGGAAAAAAACTCAGTTCCTCAATTAATACTTCGAACAAACTTAATTTTTATAATCGCTTACATCCTCACAACCTGATGGTGTAAACCGTTGATATTTAAAATCTTGAATATTTGACCTCGTTAGGATTTAAACTTTGAAATATAAGATACATTGATAACTAGAAAATTCTGAAATAGGAAGACGACTTTACAACAACATTTAAATCTATTTGATATTTTTACAAATTAAATAATTTCCTAGACACTCATTAAATCACTAATTAAATGAAATGGAGTTTTACAATGGCTAAGTCTCATGTACATTCGACTGTTTGAAGTCATAACATGAGTATAACTTCCTATTTCTTAATTATTTGGTTATTACTGTATAAGAGAGAAGAGTTATCCAAGCCGCAGCTAATTTTACCTGATGTTTCAATGGTTCACTAGTAGTTGATACATCATACTCACCCAGTCGTACTTTTAATATCTCACGGATACCAGATACATAGGGTACACTTAATAGAGGATAGATAAATAGATGGTAATAATAATAGTAATAATAGATAGATAGATAGATAGATAGATAGATAGATAGATAGATAGATAGATAGATAGATAGATAGATAGATAGATAGATAGATAGAGAGATAGATAGATAGATTGATAGATAGATGTTAAAATAAATTGTCCAAAAATATAACATTATATATATATATTATATATTATATATATAGTTGATAAACGTTTAGATAAACTGACAGTATTTGATATCAGATATTTTGCAATTCACTTCTTGCAATTATTTGTATTTATCCTGAAATCAGAAAATTTTGTGTTGTTGTAAACTCGAGATCAAGCTTTAATCTCCAGCTTAAGCAGATATACAGATTAATCTAATTCCTCTCCGGTGTACCGTGCTGGGCTTAATCTGCAGGGAATAATTTAGTAGAGAGATCAAGCATTAAGCCTTAAATTTAGAAGTATCCACATTGGATATCAAAATCAAATATTGCAGATTAACTAAATCTATCCACACAAAAGTGTCGGCCTCTGATAGATAAATAACGGAGACAAAAAGTTGGATTTGGCACCTTGTAACTTCTCACCTTGTTGTACAACTGTTTTCGTTGTGTTTAATGTTTTATCATAATATTGTCAACCGTTAAACTATTATAACCACAGAACACTTTTGTATCTTGCGTTGTGTAGGCCTCAAACAATATACGCCAGAGCCGAAACTTAAGACAGATTATGTAATGAAACCCAGTATCGGAAACTCAGTTTCATAAATAAAGTCGTGCAGGCAGTTTTGTAGATACCAATATTTTTGCTAAGAAATATTATTTTATGTGGTTACTTTCCATTCTGTTTTTTGTCTTCTGATTTTGGGGTCTATGCCCAATAAAGTAAAGTTTCGTCCATATACTCTCTTAAATTTTGAGCTGGCAAATATAGAATTATAGCACAGTAGCAGCTCACGTTGAACTAAAGTAAATTCCATTAAATATAGAATTGTAGCACAGCAGCAGCAGCAGCTCACATTGAACTAAAGTGAATTCCATTGAATATAGAATTGTAGCACAGCAGCAGCTCACATTGAACTAAAGTGAATTCCATGAAATATAGAATTGTAGCACAGCAGCAGCTCACATTGAACTAAAGTAAATTCCATGAAATATAGAATTGTAGCACAGAGCAGCTCACGTTAAACTAAAGTGAATTCCATTAAATATAGAATTGTAGCACAGCAGCAGCTCACGTTGAACTAAAGTAAATTCCATTAAATATAGAATTGTAGCACAGCAGCAGCTCACGTTGAACTAAAGTAAATTCCATGAAACATTGAAGTTTTCTATGTTTTCAATTATAAATCCTCTAATTTAAGATTTATTGAGAAGAACATGTGTGAAACCAAGTCAACTTGATGTTCTTGTAGTTTTGTGTAAAACCAGAACTGGAGGTGCTACGAGGTCACAAAGTCTTATCGGTGACGTCGCATATATTATACCTTCTCCGCCTGTCTAGATTGCAGTGGCAGATTTACAACGTATGAATTTTCACTTCACTTTCACTTTCTGTGTCTCATATTAAATGAGACACACTACAGACTACACTTGTGAAGAAATTATTCATTATTCATTAAAAATTCATCAGATTGTCATAAATTTGATAATTCTGTTTAATGCAAACAGAAGTTGGGCCACGTTCTTAATATAAATCTACATAATATCAGTTAGTTCTGATATCTGGAGACCATTAAATCTATTTGTTTAAGGATATGACAAGGTAATTATAGGTTAAATTATCAGATATATGCTTAGCCAAGATTAATTGTCAAAACAAGAAAAATACAGATGGCGGTAAATAATGATTTATTTGTGTTTTTAATTGAATTATTACTGTATGGTTCTTTCTGTATGTCAGTTTAATTCTTTTTCTTCTATGCTCCTTCTTGAACATTATAAGGGGGGGGGGAGAATTCTGATGAATGCCCCCTCGTATTCTGCTCCGTTATGATAAAACATTGACCTATAATCACAGCAGGGTTTGATCTCAAATTTAACTCTTTGTTTGTAATAAGTCTGGATTCTTTCAAAGTCTGTCATTGATTTAGCACTAGCCTGGGAACTCAGCGCTGCCAAGGTTACTAAAAGTTACCCCGCCGTTTACCCGCACTTGAACGAACCGGGAAACAAAATTTTTCGCTATCAAAGTCGACCTGCACTAAACTTTGAATAGCAAAACCAAGCTAAGAAAACTTCCGTGGATCTCCCGAGTTTTCCAATCTAAATTTGTGGCAAATTGGTCCAGTGGTTCCATGTATATTATAGAAATAAGAAGTCAGAAAATAAAAAGAATAAACGCAAAACAAACAAGATAAATAGAAAGAATAAATAAAAAAAGATAAAAAAGGATAGATGAAAAAAGGTGAAAAAGTTCGAAGAATGAAAAAATAAAAACTTAAGACGGAAAGAAATGATAAATATAAAAACAATATAGTTATCGAGGGAAATACGAAATAAAGATTTTAAAAAATAGATATCACACTAATAATACTGGTCTACAGAGGAGTATACAAATATAGATCAGGAAAGGTTTAATGTACATAGCTTGGATAGTGGAATAAATAGATATATAGATAAATTGCTTACATGTCTGCAAGAAAATAAATAGAACAGAGATACCATTAAAACTATGGAATTAAAAGACGACATTAGCGCAATATTACGTATATTTGATTTACAGTTTTACCAGTATAGCTAATAAATCAACTTAAATAATTATAAAGTAAAATGAGTTAAAATGAACATGCACTAGACAATTGGTGTATTTCTTGTTGATCGAACTGTTTAATTTTAAAAATTTGAGTCTTACAGTCGTCTTCCTATTCCACATTTGTATGGTTCTGACTGTACATAAATAGATTACTCACATGCCAGGGCCATTCCCCCATTTCTGCCTTCCCATCCCTCCCAGAGTCAAATCCTTTTCTAAAAAATAAAATTCACTTGAAAAATAGAATATAAAGAATAGATAGAATAGATAGAATAGAAAGAATAGATAGAATAGATAGAATAGAAAGAATAGATAGAATAGATAGAATAGATAGAATAGATAGAATAGATAGAATAGATAGAATAGATAGAATAGATAGAATAGATAGAATAGATAGAATAGATAACATAGATAGAATAGATAGAATAGATAGAATAGATAGAATAGATAGAATATTGCTATCATAATTCTAATACTTTTTCCATGGTTTCAATAGTTCCAATATGTGTTCCATGGTTTCAATATGGATTTTTATTGCCAAGATGGCGTCGAAGAATAGATTTTTACCTGCCGCACTGTGTGGCGGACGGCGAGGGTAAAATCCCAACTGGCGCGGCATTCTCCGGAACAAAACAGCAGACATCATGATCTGTCAACCCGCAATAGCTGTGTGGACTACCACCCCTGGAAACAAGAAAATAGTAAATTATCTTCTTAGCACATTTAAACTTTACAATTGTTGAATAAAAACAATCGAAAATTATGACTGCTTTGTTTTTAATTTCCCTTAAAATCAAATTTGAAGAAAAAAGTGAAAAAGTTCATCATTTGTGAAAGAAATTTTAACTTAAAGTTTGGATCATTCTGGCCCCGAGGAACATCTATGAGCAGGAAGATGGACTGAGATATATTCTTATTTATACAAATTGTGATATCATGAATATTTTGAAATAAGGAACAATCCCTTTCAGCCTGAAAACTGCTTCTCCACCAATCTCATCAAAGGTTTTGTAATTGTTTTAAATTCTCTGAAATAGGATCCCATCTCAACTCATAGATTGGTTTAGGACTTCTTGCATTAATTAGTTTAAACTATTTCAAGCAGTTAAGCTAACGGTCATATACAAATCCAAGCCGAATTCAACATACCCTAATATGCAGGTCCAGTACTCCATGCAGTCGCAGCCAAAATGGGAATGGGAAGAGCCTGGAAATATTTCAAATTATCCTTAATTATGAAATGTGTTTTATTACACAGGGTGTCCTAATAAACATGGAAATTTAGAGGGACTTGTATATCGTCTTTGATTTGCGATAATTAATAAAGAATATAATTTATAATTATGCGTTTTAAAGGAACTGTAATTTCAAGTGACCTTCCATTTATATATGAGTTGTATATCCGATTTACAACCTTCGTTTTGTTAAGGATTTTTTTGTCGATAATCTTGTTTTATATCGGGATTCGGGAAATCAATTGCCAAAAAACCGCGCGAGTGTACACTAGTACGGAGAGTACAGTTGTTGACACAAATAAAAGAACAACAGGGATATTCGGTAACTTTATTGAATAATAGCATGAAATGAGAAATAAAAGCAAAGTTTAAAAATATTGACCCTTAATTGGGAGTATCTAAACGGTTGAAAATGAAATAACATTGATTATTAGTGTTGAAAGGAACGGAACAGTTGGAGCTTCATGATGGTCAGCTTGCAGGTGTCAGCATCTTGGCAGCAAAGGGTTCACATCTAGGCGACGGTCCTGAGGGGTTTGCAGTCTGTAACATGTGTGGGGAGGAACGATTTGCCTCTCATACCACAGGACATGCGACTGGGTTTGCAGTCTGTAACATGTGTGGGGAGGAACGATTTGCCTCTCATACCACAGGACATGCAACTGTTTTGTGGATTTGGACATCTGGAGGCTTAGACATTAGCAGCATTCGTTGCTAGAGTAGGCATCTGCAGCAGTATGAAGGAGTTAGTAGTTCCTGATCGGAGGTGTTCACATCTCGACGTTCTAAAGCTAACTGACGCTGTTCCCCACAAGTAGAGGCGGTAAGGGGGGGGGGGAACATGAGGAGACACATTTGGAGCGGATATAGTATTATAGTATTGTGAATCTTCCGTGGTCAACTTCGCTACACAGTAGTAATCGTCTTCGTGTTTTCTTGAATTTGTTAACAACAGTGTACACTATAATCTCAAGTTTTTTTCTCTTAAACATACATTTGAAGTAAATTAAGATAAAATACAGTCCTAATTAGATAAACCCGGAATTAGTTTACAATTAATCAGACGACTATACAATAAAAATTTACAAATATAATTGCTAAATCGATAATCACAAAATCCTGCCATTTCCAAATTGTGATCTCTTTTTTGAGCATTTAAAATTGCCAGGGATATATATGTAAAGTCGTCTGATTCACTGTCAATTAATGCCTAGTCTTTCTTATTATGACCGTATTATACTGTAACATAACAAATTTAAATAGCCTTTGAATTAATTTCGACTTAAAATTAGGCTTTTTTTTAATGAATAACTTGTCATTCGCTTTCTTTCAAACTTAATTCGAAAATCAAATTGACTTCGCATATAACTGACTAAAGGAACAAATAATTCTTAATTAGCAATATTTAGTGCACTATAAAGGTAAAAAACTTCAAAATCACTGTATTTTGAATTAACTAAACAAATTTCCCGGTAAACTATTTTGTCTGGCATAGATCCCCATGTTGGAAAGGCCCCTGTCTCCCGCCTCAATCTAGTCATTTTATTTTCTTAAAATCTTTATGATTGTGTTTAAAAATCTGTTTTATTTTTCTAAAAATCTTTATTATTATATTTTTAAATCTGTTTTACTGTTCTGAAATTCTCTATAATATAAAATAAATATGTTTGAGTGTTCTGTAAATCTGTATTATGTTCATAAATATGTTTGAGTGTTCTGGAAGTCTGCATTATTATGTTTATAAATATGTTTGAATGTTCTGTAAATCTGTATAATTATGTTTATAAATCTGATGAGTGTTCTGAAAATCTGTATTATTGTGTTTATAAATATGTTTGAGTGTTCTGGAAGTCTGCATTATTATGTTTATAAATATGTTTGAATGTTCTGTAAATCTGTATTATTGTTTTAATAAATATGTTTGAGTGTTCTGGAAGTCTGCATTATTATGTTTATAAATATGTTTGAGTGTTCTGTAAATCTGTATTATGTTCATAAATATGTTTGAGTGTTCTGTAAATATGTATTATGTTCATAAATATGTTTGAGTGTTCTGCAAATCTGTATTACATATTACTATGTTTATAAATATGTTTGAAAAAATTAGCAGACTATATATAATCTTTAGTCACCTGTTTAAAAAAATCTGGAAGACAATTTGTAAAAAGAAAAAGATAATGTGAAGTGTATGATTATAATAAAATCTGTATTTTTTTGCAATGTGCATGATTTTATAATGTCTACATACCTCCAATGTGATTACTTGAAACAAATGTGTACATACCTCCAATGTGATTACTTGAAACAAATTCTTGACATTGCCCTCTGATGACCAACCCCAGAACTAAAAGCGCGTGTAGCGCCAGCCTGGTGGTGGAATTTGGAACTAATTTAGAAATGGACATCTGGACCAATCAGGGGGCAGTTGATAAACCTCCCCCGGCATTACATGACATTATCTGAAATTAGAGAATTCAGGTTTGTTACATCTATTATCAAATCTTAATAGAAATTTTAAAATGAATTATTATTATCAAAATTAATGAATTTTATTTTATGCTAAATTTTGTACAGTTTAGTTCTATCATTTGTTTTGTTTTTCATTTTTATATTAAAGGTAGAGTCTGCAGCTAGACACGGTAGCTGAGCTAAGAATAAAGTATTGTATAAGAATTTTTTAATTCATTGGAGACCTATCAGACGTTTTTACGTTGTATATTTGTTCAGCAAGAGCGCAAATTCAATCTTTATAATCACCATAGATTGTCCATTTTGGCAGGATGATTTTTAAAATCTTTTTTTAATAATTCAATGCCAAACCACGAAAAATTAACAAACGTTCTACAGTAAACTAACTAATTGTTTTGAATAGGCCTAGAACATAAAAATTAACTCTTATCATCGAAAATAAGTAATCTTATTCAGTTGACATTTAAAGAATTTGAAGAAATCTTCGAAATTGAATTTGCGCTCTTGCTCAACAATTATAAAATATGTGCAGTAAAAAGTTCGATAGGTCATAAATGAATCCTAAAAACAATTCTCAACAATACTGCATTCTCAATTCAACTACCATGTCTAGCCAGCCACTCCCTTTATGTCTTTATTTCATTTAATATATTCTTCAAGTTAAGAAACAAAAAGCAGCAGTTTACAGAATGCAATTTTTTATGTTTTTCAACATAATAATAAATCAATCAAGCATAGTAAGATTTGTTAAATTTCTGTATTATTTTGCATTTTTATGGAAAGGTGTTTTCAAAACATCCTTTGTTTAAAGTTTTCATTGTTTTTATTCTAAAAATATTGAATTGGCCGAGCCTGGATGAATTGCAGTTCCTTGAATATGAAAACAGGATTGAGTTGTAAAGGATAATTTTATGAATACAAGACCCGGGGTGAGAATACTACACAACAACAACATGAAGAAGAGCATCTAAAAATCAAAATACAATCCCCCTCATTCCTCAATTAATCCCCCAGTGACCACACCTTCCTCTTTTAATTCCCATGACTCTTCCTCCCAATCTGTTCATATAAATGTTCATACTATTACAAGAAAAACGTGTTCAACTCATCAAGTTTACATGAACACCAGGATTTAACTACATCCATGGACTCAAAACGAAATAATAAATGGAGCGCTCGATAACAAAAGCTTTGCGATTTATGTATAAACATGGATTTTTGCATTAGATAAACAAGATATGGAATCATGAAAATAAGGAGTGTAAAAAAGTATTATATGATGGCCTGACTGTTATAGAAAAAAGTGATATATTGAAGACCCCACTTAGGTTTTTAAGTGTTCAGCAAACCTTAATTAGTTTTTTTTATTAATCAACAATAATTTCATATAGGTAAATCAAATCAATATATTTCAAAAAGTTCCAATTCCCGTATTTCAAGTCCACTTAGTTAAAAATCACTGTATTTCTAGTCCACAGATTAAAAAATCCCTGTATTTCTAGTTCACATAGTAAAAAATTCCTGTATTTCTAGTCCATAGAGTAAAAAATCCCTGCATTTCTAGTCCACAGATTAAAAAATCCCTGTATTTCTAGTCCACAGAGTAAAAAATCCCTGTATTTCTAGTCCACATAGTAAAAAATCCCTGTATTTCTATTCCACAGAGTAAAAAATCCCTGTATTTCTATTCCACGGAGTAAAAAATCCCTGTATTTCTATTCCACGGAGTAAAAAATCCCTGTATTTCTATTCCACGGAGTAAAAAATCCCTGTACTTCTATTCCACAAGTTATTAAAAAAAGTTATCTACTTTGAACTATATCATCTTGAATATATTTGAGGGTTTGAATAAATATATAGATATATAAGTCTAGATCATTTTGCATATTCTCATGCATCAATTATACACAGTCTATACTTTAAATGTATTGAATACAAGCTAGAGTTCACGGCGTTGCCCGTGTAATTTTTACAAAAAAAAACGAAAACAAATTTGAATTATGAAAACGAAAAAACTAATACGTTTTTTAATTTCATTAAATTATTAAATCTTAATTTATCTAAAGGTTGATTCTAAAAAAACACACAAATGCAAATTTTCATTTTTTGGGGCTAAAAACGGTAAATTTAAAGATTAAAAATGCACCACTCTAAAGGTTTGCATAAGAAAATTATGTTTTTATCTCACTCATATCAGTCTCTATTATCAACCTGACTCCCAATTTTATCGAAAACGAACTGGAACTTTCTTCAGGGTTAACTACGTTTTTTTTTATTTTGCTTATCATGCAATACCGTCTCTTGGCAGCCATTTCCTGAAGAATACTCAGAAAGTTCTCAAAGCCAAACATTTGCCATTTTGGTGGTTGGAAGACCTTAATTCAGCAAGGAGTTGAAAATCTCTTTTTCAGCATTTAAGGAGATGTCAGCTCCTTAGAATGCAGCTCCATCCTCCTAGGGCACTATTTCGATTGGAGTTTGTTCATCTGTATTTGTTTGTTCCCATTACTTAAACTATGGGTTGAATCTAGATTTTTTAAATGTATTCCACAATTCAATTGAAAATTTTTACATGTTATTGATTATCAAATTCACCACCCAACCAATCTTTCTTTAAGAAGTTATTGCTAAAAAATTGTTAGTATGATGGGTATTCGACTAGAACCGTGGTGCCAGAAAATAGTCATTTCATAATTTCTCCAGCACTGGCTTATTTAGTATTTTGAATACAAACCTTGATCTGATTTTTCAAGATGGGTTCAGATGTTTTTATCATTATTTTGTCCATCAATTAATCTTTTAGGGTCCTGTACTTAACATGTATTGGGTTTCTGGTTATCTTTTATCTGATTTTGTTGGTTAATTTTGAGTTTTACCATCTTGTGCGGTTTTTTTAGAATCACCCTTTATATCCATCTATCTATCTATATATCTTTCTATCTACTTATTTATTTATCTATATATCTATCTATCTATCTATCTATCTATCTATCTATATATCTATCTATCTACTTATTTATTTATATATCTATTTATTTATCTTCCTATCTATCTATCTTAATGAAGCATCTGTACTGCACGTTGTATCCAAACATCTTGGCTTAGATTTTTAATTCCATGACAATAACTCCTCTTCAGAGATCCTTTAATTAATAATTAACCATTAATAGGTTGTTAAACAAGCAGTGAGTATTCAGTGAACCCCATAAAATTATAAAACATGAAACAGAAAACAGCTCTCACAATTAAGTCTAGATTTTTCACAATTAAACTGAGTTTTTTAAATATAAAGATTTAATTTTTACATAAAAATTTGCCTTTTCATAACATTGTTAGGAACATTCCCATAGTTCTATCGTGTTTCATAATCAAAATTTGAGGCAGATCGGTCCAGGGATTCACGAAGGATTACTGATCGGACATACAAACATCAACACAATAAATAGACAGACAAACAGAGATTACTACTTTAAATATTAGTTTCACAGCAAACTAATCGGGAGAAGGTAAAATTCAATTTACATTCTTATGATTTTGTGAGTGTGAGATTTCTGTTACGCTAATTCTGATTTTAGAGAAAAGCAAATTTATTTGGTTACATTTTAGCACTTTAAAACATTTTAGCACTTTAAAACATTTTAGCACTTTAAACCTTTTAGCACTTTAAAACCTTTTAGCACTTTAAAACATTTTAAGCACTTTAAAACATTTTAGCACTTTAAAACATTTTAGCACTTTAAAACATTTTAGCACTTCAAAAAATCAATGTATAAACTATTTTGCAAAAGATAAACTCGCACCCTGATCTCTAATAGTTCTCCTTAAATCTATTTAATTGAAATGTGTTGTTATCATTATTGAAATTAGGTGAAAAAAATATTTTCCACCTAATTGCTTTATACTTGTACTGTTAATATAATCATCAATTTGTAATTGTAAACTCGTTCTGTACACAGATACATGTATTTTAGCAATAAACGTTATCTATCTATCTATCTAACATTTTAGCACGTTAAAACATTTTAGCACTTCAAAACATTTTAGCACTTCAAAACATTTTTTTCAATTTACTTTAGCTTGACGTAGTTTATAAACATTTGATTTACTACATTGCTACTGACAGTGTATAAGACACAAACTGTTGAGTGTTAAGGGAGACGGTTTCATCAAAATATCAATTTATTTTACATTAGACTTCTGACAGTTATTTTGATTTTAGAATATTTATTGACATGATACATCATTATATTCCCCCTTCCCCTCCCCCTTCCTCTTCTTGTTATACTAGGTAGACTAGGTAGAATAGGTAGACTAGGTAGAATAGGTAGACTAGGTAGACCAGGTACACTAGGTACACTAGGTAGACTAGGTAGACTAGGTAGACTAGGAAAGGTACACTAGGTACACTAGGTACACTAGGTACACTAGGTAGACTAAGTACATTAGGTTGCATAGGTAGAATAGGTAGACTAGGTAGACTAGGTACACTAGGTACACTAGGTATACTAGGTACACTAGGTAGACTAGGTACACTAGGTAGACTAGGTACACTAGGTACACTAGGTACACTAAGTAGATTAGGTACACTAGGTACACTAGGTACACTAGGTACACTAGGTACACTAGGTACACTAGGTACACTAGGTACACTTGGTAGACTAGGTACACTAGGTAGACTAGTTACACTAGGTAGACTAGGTACACTAGGTACACTAGGTACACTAGTTACACTAGGTAGACTAGGTACACTGGGTACACTAGGTAGACTAGGTAGACTAGGTAGACTAGGTAGACTAGGTAGACTATGTAGACTATGTAGACTAGGTAGACTAGGTAGACTAGGTAGACTAGGTAGACTAGGTATACTAGGTAGACTAGGTGCACTAGGTACACTAGATACACTAGGTACACTAGGTAGACTAGGTACACTAGGTACACTAGGTACACTAGGTACACTAGGTACACTAGGTAGACTAGGTACACTAGGTACACTAGGTACACGAGGTACACTAGGTACACTAGGTAGACTAGGTACACTAGGTAGACTAGGTACACTAGGTAGACTAGGTACACTAGGTACACTAGGTAGACTAGGTACAATAGGTACACTAAATACAAAAGGTACACTAGGTAGACTAGGTAATTGTGGAAAACGTCTTTCGGATTCATTTGAGACATATTAAACTTTTTAAAGATCTGTAAATCCTGAGTTTGAGCGCAAATTCGACGTTCAAAACTTTTACTTTAGGGGTGGATACGTTTTCAGAATCGATTTTTTAAAAATTATTAATTAAATAACGAAGACAAAATATGTAAAAAAAAACTCTACAGTAAACTAATTAGTTGTTTAGGAACCGGTTGAGAAAATAAAAATCAATCTTATCATCGAAAATAAGTATTCTTATTCAATTATTAGTTTCTATTTTCTCGTTATTCTGGTTTCTCAATATTCACAAAGATTTTATTTGACAGCCATTTTCGTATTATGTTTTTTTTTTCCTTGTGATTTTAAAAACATTTTTAATATTGATTTTGATGGTTATTATATCGTTAGAACTGAGAAGGGTGAACCCAGACAGAAATATATTTTCAAAAAATGTGGAACTAACATCTACTTTTTTACTCTGTGAGGTTTGGAGCATTTTCAACACAGAATTTCAAGCCTAGAGAAGGCACCAAGCATTCACAATTATTCTCGGAATGACTTTATTAAAACCCCAAGCGAGCCAGAGGGTACGACGAGTACATGAGGACTAAAATTACAGGTTTCAAGTGGAGAACAAAAACACTCATCAAGTGAAAAAACTTCATGTCAAATTATACAATCAGANTATATTCCAATAACCTTTAATCCATCAACAAGAAATTAAAAAATGTGAATATGGGGGAAATATTTCCATTCTCTCCGCTTTTTTCTAACGATAATTCCAAACCAATTAAACTAACACTCTGAATTAGATCTTAGCTACCTCTCAGTGTGTATTGGCCTGAGTGTACACTTGGGATAGTTTACTGATAAAGGATGTTAAGAGATTATGGCCCATTTATACAGAACAAATATAAAATATGCAGTACGCTTTCGGAGTACAAGTGTATGGGGACTGGGGAGGTTTTGTATCTTGAATTTTACTCAGTTTTCTCAGAACAGTTTATTAACGCTGAAATATTGGTGAAGTTTTTTAATAGTTACATGGAAAACAAATGCTCCATTTAAATATTTTCAGAAATCACCCCCGAGTACTAAATATACAGATTTACCTTTGGAAGTGAAGTACACATGGCCTGTACAATTAGTAAAGGATTAGCGTACATCATCACTATATATACTATAACCTCGTTGATTAGAACCAAAGTGTTTTATTTTCAAATTGATTATAATCCGACTTTTTTCCCAGGAAAACTGACAATAATTGCATTATTCATATAGCATTGCGTGATCTTTATTTTTAGCGGAAATTCAAATTTCAAGAATCATTCAAATGTGCAATCTTAAGCTTGTTCGCGTTTACGTTGTTTTAAACCGTTAAATCGTCATGAATTAGATATTTTTAGTTCTGACGTATTAGTGAGGAAAAGGAGGGTTTATATTACTTTCAGAAAATCATTTTTTCACTTATTTTTTAAGCAAGTACTTTTTAACATTTATTTTTGATTAATGGTTTTAACAAATTTTATTACAAAATTGTATAAATAATCAGATGATAGAAATTCCTGTTTTTCTTATATCTCTATATGTTTCTTAAAATCTCCATTTTATTGTTCTTGTTTTGTATCATCGACAATATATTGGCTGATATTTAAAAATAAAGAAAAATTAAGTTATCAGGAGAGAGAAATTACTACATGTATTAAGTTATCAGGAGAGAGAAATAACTACATGTATCAAATTATCAGGAGAGAGAAATTACTAAATGTATCAAGTTATCAGGCGAGAGAGAAATAACTACATGTATCAAGTTATCAGGAGAGAGAGAAATAACTACATGTATCAAGTTATCAAAAAGGAATTTATCAAAACGGAAAGATAAATTGGTAACTTTTAGGACATAATTATTTTACAAAATTCTTGACCACACCTTGCCGCGCCAGTAGCCCTACCCTAGAATACTGTTTATCTGCTGGCTTGCAAGTTTGTGTGCTTGTTAAATTTTTTTACTTTTTTACTTTTAGTCTTTACAAGAACTGTAGCAGTAATAACTAGTGACGCTCCACTTCAAGTGCCATGTCCGATTCACAGCTGTACCCATAAACGAATCGTCCTATCAAGAATGAATTAGATCTCCATGTAATAAATATCGGGTAACACGCAATTCTATAAACTTGCAGTACATTGTACATGATTAACTATTTATGTTTGTAAACTTCTAAGTAAAACTCATTATTCATTTGAACTGCGTTTCAAATGAATACGTAGCTTTGTTAGCTTAATGATGTGATATAGATAAAGATGGACTTGAAGATCATGTCTTAGTTGAGGTATTGATAGTTTACGAGATGTTATCCTAGCTGAGGCATTGATAGTTTACGAGATGTTGGCATAGGTGAGGCATTAATAGTTAATTGCTAGTGTTCTGGTTGACATTGATAGTTGACCAAATTGTATCCAGGTTTAAACATCGACAGCTAAATGAAACTGGATTGTACCTGGATAGAAACGGGTTAGAGAAACCATTCTGGAGTAGGGTATTTACTACATCTATATATCCATGTTAATCTCTTTAAAAGTTTATTATTTTCAATTGCGACCTGCCACAACTCTTGTGCAGATGCAATTGAAGGAAATTAATCAAAAAAATCACTTTTTAATCCAGAGAAACAACGATATACTTCACATTATTGAAGCTGTAGTTAAGTTTAAAGGGTTCGTTGTAAATTAATTGAACATGTATTTTCAGGAAAAGAAGAAGGTTTGAATCAATGTTGTTTGCTTGAACATGGTACATTCAAAACATAAAAACTTGTTTAAGTACAAAGTTATCTATGTACATGATTATCTTTGTACAACGTATCTATGTACAGGATTATCTAGGTTCAAGATTATCTATGTACACGGTTAACAAGGTTGTTTATGTATAAGGTTATCTATGTAAAAGGTTATCTATGTACAAGGTTATCTATGTACAAGGTTATCTATGTACAATGTTATCTATGTACAAGGTTATCTATGAACAAGGTTATCTATGTACAAGGTTATCTATGTCAAGTTTAAATGTCTAATCATTTGAAACATTCCAATTTCCTTTCTATACATACAGTATACACCCAATTTTTTTCACCTAATTCATTATAAAGTTTATTTAACAGCTTTAAAAAATTCGAAATTGAAATGGATAGTCTAGGGAACATACTGTATTAATGTACTTTAATGCATATAATTTGTGAACATTTACATGATTTGTACACTTTGAACTCCCTTTCCGGCTGAAAGGGACTGAACACATTACAAACAATCTTCGCACCGAGACCATGAAACCTATTCAATCCCTCCCCCCCTCTCTCTTCCTTCCCCCTACCCACCCTTTTTACACCCCACAATCATCTTCCCCCTCCCCCCAATATTTGAATGATTAAGCAGAATAGTTTTCATCTATATGATTATATGTTGGGTTGTATCAGAGATAAGAAAGTTATATTTAGTCTATTTTACTCTGAGCTTCATACGTTCATAAGAAAAAACTAATTTTAAAATTCTCTTTTTCGTCTTCTTGTGCAAAATAATATGACCATTGATCAAGGAGCATACCTATAGGGTTTAACAATTTAATCTCTTAAAATTGAGACGTTGCATATTTTTACTTAGAGTTTAATTAAGCAGATTTATCGGGAGAAAGTTCAAATCCTGTTCTGGTTTCTGCAAAAATCTTAAAGGAAATAATCGCCAAAATTTAATAAAGTCTGATCGTAAATTCACATCCCTGACAAGATTTTAAAATCTATTTACATTAGAGGAATATGCAATTTACAAAAAAGTCTAATATAGCCTCAGTCCAACATGACTATTGAACAATTCCTAAATGTATTATTTAGTCAAAATTATTGCTAACTAAATTTTATTTTGAAATCGTGAAAGTTAATTTATAGTTGAAAGAGGTAGATCAAATTAATAAAATCTCATGAGATCAATGATTTAAAATACGTAATTTGTAGTTAACAATTCAAATTGGATAGTTTATACTATATAGCAAATAGATTATCAAGTGCACAAGGTGGCAACAGAGAAATGGATCAATTATACACGACGTCACAAGTGTCAAATATAACAAGGAAAACGAAATCATTTGACATGTTTTCAAGATTAAATAAAAAATGTAAAAAATAACATAAAAAATTGCAGTGTAAGATGAGCACTTTATTCTAAAATTATCACTATTACTAATAATTTTGTCGAACACAAAAACTGAGTTAACGCTTGTGACGTAAGAATACAGCTGTACTGAGAATACTACGTTGCCATCTATTGTACTTAACAGTTTATTTGCTATTTAGTATCTTCTCTTGCTTGAAGAGCACATTTCCGCTTTAAATTCCGACCCTTACTCATTCTATTGATTTAATTCTCTTTTAAACTGTTCAAATGATAATTAAACATTTTCTGACGCATTAAATTAATTAATGGCTTATTAATGTGTGTCTAAATAGTGTTTAACAATGCGTAATTAGACAGGTACAGGAATTAACTATAAGATGTGTTTGAGAAGTCTAACCACGAAAACGCTACTGTTCTGTGTTGCGTCTCAGTCTCCAGACAAAATATTCTATAATTAATTAAATTATG